AGACACTACTTGGGAAGTAGAAGAATCAAAGTATACACTAACAACATTTCTTTAAAGTATTTTACTTCCAAATCTCAGGCCTCACCTAAGGAGTTGAAGTGGTATGATGTGATAGTATCAATGGATATTGAACTAATTCATAAACCAGGCAAAGACAACTTGGTGCCTGATACACTAAGTAGAAGAAAAGAATTCATGGGAGAGAAACTCCATGACACTACAGACTATAGTATATCATAATGACTCTCTCTTGATAAAGGGCATTAAGAAAGATTATGAATAAGATAAGGATGCACTTGAGATTAAAGAAGCCTTTGCTTAAATCAAAACTACAAGAGAACAAAGGAGACTTGTGGGGGTCTCTTTTATAAGAAATGGATTGATTTGGTTTAAGCAAAGCAGACTCTAAGTACCAGAAGTTAAGTGGAGAAAAAAAACTAATGTATAAAATACATGATTCTCTATGTGGTGGACATATTGGTAGAAAGGTCACTTTTAAAGAAGTGACAAGATCTTATTATTGACCCTCTATAAAGGAAGATGTGGACCAATATGTAAAAAGTTGTTTAGTCTATCAAAGGAATAAATACTCTACTCAGACAAAGAATGGACTTTTAGAACCATTGTCTATTCCATCTCTACCTTATAGAGACATTTCAATGGACTTCATAATTAGCTTACCAAAATGTGGTGAAGCTAACTCCATAATGGTAGATGTTGATAGATTCAGCAAGACTGCTAGATTTGTATCAATGACTATGTTTCTAAAGGATTCAAAAGAGGTAATAGAAACTGCCCCAGAATTAATAACAAGTATATTCTTTGATAATTGGATCTCTTTATATGGAGTGCCAACTTCAATTGTGAGTGATAGAGATGTGAAATTCACAACTCAGTTTTAGCAACATATTATGAGAAAACTAGGTTTTAAAATCATATTAACCACTGCTTGGCATCCACAAGGAGATGGCCAAACTGAGAGACTCAATTGAATTCCCTCGATGTATTTAAGGCACTATGTAGCAAGTGATCATAAGGATTGGATCAAATGGTTGCCTATAGCTGAATTTACTTATAATACAACTCAAAATGTGGCCTTAGGAAATATACCATTCCAAGTTGTTCATGGCTTTAATGCTCTACAACCTATAGATTTAGTATGAGTCAAACAGAGTGATAAAACAGCTTTGGAATTTTATTCAATTAAAGTGGCAAAGTGGGTGACAAAACGGGAAGCCATATTACAAACCGCCAAAACTAAACTGGAATTGGTCCAAAGAAGATATAAAAAACAAGCAGATAGGCATAGAAGGGATGTGTAATTTGAAAAGGGAAACAAAGTTTGATTGAATACAAGTAATCTCACTTGTCCAGCACATCTTACTTCCAAATGGACCCAGAAATGGGCAAGTCCTTATGAAATTGAAAGAGTGCTATACAAGAATGTCTATGTCTTGGACATACCTAAAAGATTGAAGTGGCATCCGATTTTCCATGTAAGTATTCTCAAGAAATTTATAGAGGATGAAAAAGGCTTTCATAAAGAGAATGTAAGAATTCCACTTGAAGAGTAAATATGGGATCAAACCATAGGTCGAATAGAAGTGATACTTGACAAAAAATGGACAGATGTTAGAGGGGTTCAATACTTGTGTACTTTCAAAGGGTACCCTCCGCATGAGTTTCAATGGATAAATGAAAGGAACTTACGACATGTGCATGGGTTAGTCACAGCTTTTAATAAAAAAGTGGATGACTATAGAAGATCCAGGATGATAAGGAAGCAAATCAAAACCCACTAAAAGGATAGATGGATTAGTTGATTGACAATTTGGGAGAGATCAATAGAAAGAGTGACCAAGAAGATGAGGGCATCTTCACTCCAAAGTGGAGGAGGGTCACAAGACTATATGACTTATAAGAAAAGAGAATTCATGAGCTATAGTATAAGGGGAAATATGGAGAAACTTGGAAAAGAAGGTGATGAAAGTTTTCAAGAGATAGAAGATTTTGAAAGGATTCCAATCCGAGGGGACTTCGTAGAGGGAAATCTTAAGAAGCTTGTACGAGGCGCATGTAAGACTCTGAGCAACCAGGCCTAAACGGTTGGCCTTTCCTAAATGGGTTTCACATTGAGTGATAGCAAGTCACTTCTATATAGTATGGAAGGGTATTGGGGTGAGACAGATCCTAGTTAAGGAGTTCCACAGCCGAGGCTAAGTCTAAGTGGGGAGTAATTTCCTATTATTTACATTGGAAGATGTAAACTTTCAAAATCCATGAAATTAAGAAAACTTAAGTAAATTGAAGGCAAAAAGAAATTGCAGAGAAGCGCGAGAAAGAAGTAGTGTCCCTTCTCAATAAAAAACTAATAAATCCTCCTTTATCCCTACCACCTTTTGAAAGACTAGAATTCTGAATGGAGGCTAGGTAGACAAAAGAGCCTTCAAGCTACCTAAGAAAGAAAGAAGGATGTAAGTGCAAAACATCTATTGTAAACATTCTGTGAGAATGGAAAAACAAATACACCTTATATGTCAATGAAGACATTGACTCTCAAAAATGGAGCAGGGTGTAAGGGTCTAAAGGATCTCACTCTTGCACTTGTGAGTCAAAAGGTTTGGAGCCCTGGCGATCCCCAAGCCTATGAGAAAGCCGTGGCGAGGTGGCAATGGAATAGTTGGGTGGACCACCTCCCTCACACCAAGAGACCACACGATGCAGGGGCAACGTGCAGTGTGAGGGGAAATTTGCAGAGTCCCTGTCGAGTCCCGAGTGATCCGGAGGAGTCATGAGAACTCTGACAGCCACAGGGATTTAGTTTGTTGGCATCATGAGTCTGGAATTACATGGACCGAACTGTGGTGACAGTATTCGGAAGTAGGAGCCAGTTTGCGGGACTAGTACTAACGGGGTTTTCTGCTGGCAGTGTTTTAGGGTGAAATCAAGTGATAAGTAGAAGAGACCCGTGACAACAGCTAGAGTGGCAATACTACAATAATCTACCTTCAAGTTTTAGGACAAGGCAAGACAAGAGAAGACTACATTACAAGGGTTATTACAATAAAATCGTGGAAGGGTGTTGAAATCAAGAACTCAAGATCAATATGAGAAGTAGGCAAAATCTCAAAAATTATAGATGAAAACTTGCTCATGGATAGAATTTATTTTGGATGAATTTTTGAATGATGATTAATACTAAAAGAAGGTTTAGTAAGTATATAAGTCAATAACAACAACTTTGAAGGGTCATCACTTAATATTTATGAAAGTTGTGGTTATGAAATTTAAAATATATTTATTTTATTAATTCAAGAATCCATTTATTAGATTTTAAAATATTTTGATGTTTGCTTTAAGAAATATACACAAAAGAATAATTAGATATAGGATTGTGATGAAAAAGCAGTGACCAAGAAATTAGCTTAAGAGATTTGCTTGCTATAAATGATTTAAGTCATCAATCACTTTGAAAATTGGAGTATGAAGAGATAAAATATGTAATTTATTGCAAAAGATCTCAAATTATTCCATTGATTTTATATTGAATTATAAGAATTTAAAATGAAGTAAGTTGGATTCGATGCAAGTGAAGATTTGTCCAATAACTTAGAATAAAGTAATGCAAAGAAGAGGATAGAAACTAAGACATAAATTAGCAACAAAGATCTTCACAACAAGAAGCTTTACGTTTTTCCAAACCAATAACAAACTTCTTAATATCAAATGTATAAAAAGAAGTTATATTAGATAAATTATTCATATATGAAGATTTTACAATGTCAACTAGCATTGCCATGACAAACAAAAGTAAGAAGAAATATTTGGTTAAAAAATAAAAAAATAGCCACCTTAAGGAAGTTTAAGGCTAATTTTATAGCACAATTCAAATTAATTCTAATTTTAAAATACATAGTCAACTCAAAGATAGGATTAGAATCTAAGCTTTTCACCTCACTTATTTTTTAGAAACCAACTCAAAAAGATATTTGTCTTTTGAAGCTTTTTTAGAGACATTGCTATATAATTAGTTACAACTTTGCAAGTTGGCATCCAAGTCTATAACTATCTCTATATAGACATTGATCTAATAGCTCAACAAGTTGCAATAAAGCATATTAAGTCACTTTGACTTTTTATTTTTCAATCTTTAAGCTAAAATTTGCAATTATAAAATTAATTCAATAATGATTTTAAATTTGAATTAATTAAAAAATTAAAAAATTAAAAAATTATAACTTCTTTTCTTGTCTTTTGAATATAAAGATTTGTTTTAGCTCTACAAAGCTTAAGATTAATTATTGTTCTAACATAAGATTGTTGTTTAATAACAACTGACTTCATCATTTTATATCCATCTATATTCATCTTCTCCTTGTGAAATCTACTATCAAAATTACAGAGATAAATCACCAAAAAATAATAAGATTTTCAACAATTTAAAAAACTTACACAAAATTATGACATAAAAAATTTCTAACAAAATTGATTCTTAAATCTTCTCTTTTTTTAGTTGATTGTAACAAATATGCCATTATAAAGAAGCAAACTTGAATTAATATTTTATATTGGATTTATATTTATATCAAAATAATTTATAATATGCTTTAAACAATATAAGAAGACTAATATATGATCTATTACAATTACATCTAGTATAAATATGTAATAAATTATAGAGAATGTTCAAAAGTTTGATTGCATATATTTTGACTACAACTAAATATGTATAATACAAAATAAATAAATATTAAATTTGAAAAATCCTAAATAAAACTCACCATTAATATTATATCATATCTAATCTACATTTTTATTAAAATACTTCATTGATTACTCTACTGTTAAGGATAATTTAATATTCTTCTTCATTCTTTCATTATGAAAAAATCTTTATTATTACAATCTAATTATTGCTGAAAAGTCTTTTATTCTTAATCCAATGACTTATACGTGCAAAGATCTATACAAAAAACCAATATGAAATTGATGAATCCATATGCAATTGAGTGTGAGCAAAAGTTTACAAATGCCAGTGTAAAGAAGATTGCCTAAATGTGATATTTTCCTCAATTTCTGATAACTATCTAAAAACTTTAAAAGTCAATGTTAGCCTTCGAAGGACTTCGGTCATCCTTGGAAGCTAGTTTACCACCACCACTAGCATTTTCAACACCATTTGCCAAGCCCTTGCCTCGTGTTCGAGTAATGCCCAACTTGGGCAATCCACGATTTAGACCATCAAGCAGAACACAAGCCTTGCACCATTTCTGCACATTCATAATCAGCTCGAAGATGAGCCTGGACATAACTTCAAACTAATAAAATGCAAAATCCCAAGCCCACAACACGTGACATACCCATCTGGGCAACTCAAAAAATCTTCCAAACAAAAACTCATCGTTTTCAGCAGAAAGCGTGTTGGGTTTTCTACGGGTCTTTTGAAAGTTTACCTGGCTTGAAATGTATCCGCATCTTTCACACAAGCCCTGTTCTGGCATCTTAGCCGTAGAATCTATCCTAAATCTTTCTCCAGAACTTATGATGTCAAGAATTGCTTGCGGCCTGATCAACACACCCAGAATGTGTTAAATTATAAGGATTCTCAGGTACATACAGATACAGGCATATCGACGAGAGAAATTGTGTTCGTCAGAACCTGATAGCTTCGAGATCTTTAATGAACTCACGTGCGAACCCTCGATAAGCATTTGGAGAATAAGTGCCTGAAAACAGGAAACGCACATACTGATAAAAATCAATGATCCCCAGAATAGACATAGACTTCAACGCAAATGAGTGGTAACATCCGCCGGTTTTTTATCAAATATCTGTTTCAGAGCATGTAAGAGGCAAGTCCATATGTTGACCTGTATGCTACTAGGGCATTAGAACAGCTCATACTATCTTCACAAAACTGCAAGGTCTCAAGGGAAACAAGAACCTAAGTTTTGAAACAGAAATAACTATAGAAAAGGACTTACATTCAGTAGAAAAATAATCCAGCTTCTTGAAATATGCGTACATTACAATCTCCTTCTCGTACGTATATTTAAAGGGCTTGCAACGTGGCAAAGCACCTTCTTCTCCAGTTATAATCGAAGTACATCTCGCTAATCTGCATGCAAATGATTCAAAGTTAATAGATAAGAAAGAGCGGAAAAAATAATATCCATCTTGATCGAATGCTTGTGAAGGAAAACAAATCCTGATAACTTTTCTGAATGTCCTTTAGGCACTGCCAGGTGAATGCAGTTTTGACAATTAGTTGCCTCGCTATACATCCATTTTTTATGATAGGTTCACAGTCTTACCTAGCAATGTCACCACGAACAATGTTGAGCAAGATGGTCTCAGCAACATCATCAGCATTGTGACCAGTAGCCATCTTGACAGCTTTCATCTTAGCAGCCCCTCTATCCAAAGCCTACACACATCCAGCACCACACAAGAACCGCAGTTTGTAAGCTAGCTGACACTTGCAGGCTGCAACAACAAGAAGCATGCCGCTGAAAACGCCAATGTGAACCCGTCTTACTCAAATAGGATTGTAGGAAAAGAAACTAATTCCTTGTTATTAGATTGCTTCATTGCTAACTGACTTAAGCTCTCCGTAAACACATTCATCAAACAGTTGAGTTAGACGTCTACCTGGCGGCGAAATACACCACAGAATGTACAGTTGTTCTTCAGCCCAATTTCTTTGACTATTTCATCCATAGTCCAATTATACAGTGTCTTGTATGAAACGACCTCCAAAGGAATTCCATACTGCAACAAAAATATAAACAACAAAATTAAACACCCAAGCGTTCTCCCAGTCTAACCTCTCATAACACTAGAATTACAGCCATCTTACCAGAAAAACTAGAGATCAACAACAAAAATCCGCACCTGTGTTTCGTTCCGCTTTACAGTCTCAAGGGAGTCGTCCCTGTATCCAGCAATACCTTCATCAATCGATAGTAAAAACAAGTCCAGGCCGTAGTCGTGTCTCTTATTCAGTAATGTTAAAACATGTGCTAACACTGTTGAATCTGCAAGTCCATCGTCCAACTTGAGCTGCGGGCAAATTTAGTCATCTCTTACTCTTACTACATGCTGGTACTTTTACTGACACTTTATGCCACATGAAATTGATTTCATCCAGGTTTTCAACAAGATTGTTCTGTAATTTCTCTAAAAGACACTTAACAACTGTCTGATGAGCATAGGCAAATAAATGTCATAAAAATACATATGAAGGGTTTAGTGCCCCAACAAGTCTAAAGTCAAAACCAACTATTCATCCATAATGGTGATGCTTCTTTTGTAAGGAGTAATTTTACTAGTCTTACGTCTAAACCCTAAATCCTAGACCTACATATACGTTAAGACGTGGAGGATCCACAAGTTACAGCAGACAAGCCCATTCATAATAATGCCAATAGCAACTCAAAGGCAATAGCTTCTTGCAACGCCCATCCAAGGGGCAGGAAAGGTCCACTAAGCCAAACAAGCAGGAGTTGTTAAGCAGGCGACTCAGACTCACCTTTACCACCAGAAGCAGCGACAGCAACGCGGTCACCCCGATTAAAAAGTTTGTTGTCGACAATAGTTTGATGGATCTCCTCCTCAAAAGCAGTGTAGAAGCAGTCTTTACAAACCTGCACCAAACCGAGTGATCCATTACAGTAAGATTCTTCAAAAAAAAACAGAACAAAAAAAATAACCACAACAACAACAACAACAATAAATAAAATAAAAAATAAAAAATACTGTTTCAAAAATCCTCCATCAAACTCTGCGAAGTTTCGAATAAGATTGTGTTTCAGAGCAGACGTTAGGTTCTCCAACGTGCTGATACGACCATGCCAGGATGACAAAAAACCACAAACCACTCATGCTGACCTGCTACTTCTAGAACGACTAGAGAGTGATTTGAAAGAGTAATTCAAGACGCTCCACATATTAGAAATAAATAAATAAAACTAAACGGTGAGATTCTGAAACACCAATTCACAGAACCCTAAGTCCACTTAATCGCTGGCTGGCACTCTAATACGTCGTACTGACGAATGAGTCCAATTCATCGATACACCACACACCAGAGTAATCGATTGATACGAGAATTTTTGCATACCTGTTGTCGGTTTCTGGGCCGGACCAGGGCAGCACGCTTTGCCTTGCAAAGCTCACAGTGCCGAACCATCTCTTCAAGAGCAATGCATGCAATTCCTCCCCGAGAAAGACAGTCTCGCACCCTAAACAAACACAAAAACTCGGCGAAGCAAGGCCTTGAGCTTGCGCCGGGTAATCTCAAACATTGAAAGCTAAGTCGCACGGCGTTGATGCAATACAATGGAAGAATTGGCGACAAGAGGAGCCGAACTTTCCTCAAGTTGATGCGGTCTTGGGTGCAACTTGATAGTCCCGGCGCCGTCTATCACCATGAAAAAAGCGGTGACAGGCACTTCCGAAAGCGACGGAGAAAGTTTGCCCCAGTACACGGGAATACCCATCACCGTGTCTTTGCACCATTCAGGTGGAATACTTTACCTTTGCAGGTAATTTAAGTTCAATTGAGAAATTCTGAATCGATTCTATTGTATGTCATAACTATAACAAAATGAATCGATTATGAACATGTAATTGACATAGTATATATGTATAATACTAGCCATATAATATTATTAGGATAATGTTAAATAGACCCAAGTTTTTATTAATTTGACCTATCTATGATGACGAATATGGTAACCATAATGAATGTGGTTGGTTCTCATTGGCTTTGGATCCAAGAGACATGAATCTAAATGTCATTTTTTTTTTTTTTTTTTTTCATCATAGTTAAGATGGGTGGGTCAATTTAGTAAAAGCCTAGTTCAATTCAACATTCTCCTATTATTATTATGATTACTATTATTATCAAGAATGTAATAATTTATTTGACTTACACATATTAATTGAAATTTATAATCTGAATATCATAAAAATAAGAATTTTTTACTTATTCTCTAGTAGTGTTGAAAATTATAAATTAATTATACATAAAGATAAAAAAAAAAACAACATTAAATAAAAGAGTATTATTTGAGCATTTTTTTTGTGAAAAGTTGTTTTTATGTTGGTTTTTTTTGTTTATTCAAGTAATGAATTATTTCAAGACGATTTTTTGAAAAAATTAGTCATGGTCCACATTTTTGAGGATCATGTCCCTATCAAAGACAATTTGACATCAATTAGGGTTAATGCATCTAAAAAACATATAAATTCTAAAAACATGGATTGCTTCGATTTTGTGAATTTTAATGTCAGATAATTTCTTGGTGATACGACTAACACCTTAAAGTGTTGCCCAAGACTTGTAAAGTATAGATGGTGCAGAACAAGAGATAAGGAGTTTTCACTCTTCTGATTTTCAAATGTCAATAACCATGTCCTTTAGAAGCATGAACAAAAAAATGCAAAAGCCACGGTTACGTTGCGGCCGCAAGGACTTGTCGGGTTGACTGATCTTGAACAATCTATTTACAACGACAATGAATCTCTTGAATAAGTTTGCATTTCAAGTCTCCTTGTGTCCGAAAGAATGAGATACAAATCTCGCTGACTGGACGGTAGATGCCCGTTGATGCGATTCTTGCATCATTAGACCTATCGAGTTCATCGTCTGATGGGAATCCTTGAGCGGGTGCAATTTCTCAACGACCAAAAGAAGAGAAGTCGACGAGAATATTCACGATCGGAAGCTCATTTAGTATGTTTTTAGCAACTGTTGAGATATATCTATATATAATGTCGCATGAAGTGAAGTGAACTTGCAAAATACATCGAATTGAAGTGTGATCCAGCTTAGTCAAGCACATTAAATTTGGCGTGTGCTCTTCGACGTCGGTTTCCTTGGCTGCAAATTGTCGATGAGTACTTGGCGAGTGGAGTTTGGTTTCGGAGAATGTCGAGATGTGCTGAGTGCAGTGGATTAGAATGGTTAGGATCCATCAGGGTTGCACAAGACATATCGATAGGGCGTCGAGGCCTCATCGTTGTATTTAGACTGTGATATAGTCAACGACGTTAACAATCCACTCCGGAGATTTTCACGGCGCTTCGGACGGCCACTTTGGTTGCATCTGAGGCTTCTTCGGTCGGGGACAGTGGCCACTTGCGGACCCCGCGGCCCGATTCGCTCTCAAGCTGTGTGGGGACCGGTCGCTACTGTCCGCGTCCTTAAACCCGCGGCCGAGAACAAAACTTTTTCGCCAGTGTCAGCGTTCAAGAGACTCTAATAGCCTTCTTGTTCACTACCGTTCCTACTCTCCGCCAACTTCACACTTCCGCACACGTTCTGCACTTTACTGGTCCTGAGTTGTGGAGGGTGCGCCGTCTTCTTCATCGCGTGCCTTGTGAGGGACCTGAGATTGGAGCTTCGAGGGATTCGATATTGCTTATCCTGTCTGATCTTTGATGAGTATGAGCGTTTACTAAACTCCGTTGACTCCGTTTGTAGTCTCATTTTTACTTTATTTTTATTTTAGTTATTAAGGATATATTGAATGAGAAGTTTTTTTTTTGTGTGTGGTATATTGTTCGCAGAGAGAGCGAGAGAGAGTGAGGGAGGAAAGGAGAAGATATAACTTTGGGGTTCATGAGTGAAACCGAGATTCCACCTACATTACAGGTTTCGGCCAATTGATGTGTCACGTTTCAGCTGTAATAAGTTTTTTTCAATGAACCTAAATTATTCGTACTGCACGTTTGATCGTGGTACTGGCTGGCGTCAAGGAAGTTTCTTCCTTGACTGGTGTGGTACTACGGTGTGACTGTCATCTCTATGTTCTCAATACCGCATGAAGAAGCACGTACAACACATATTCGAGTGGTTGACAAAGTCCAGATTGAGGCCATTTATAGTAGCTGCATTAATAGTGCATATTCATACGAAAGACACAACTTAAAGAGAGAGTCAATCCACATACCTCTGTAGTAAGTAGCCATATAAGACGAGAGGTTAAAATGTTGAAATATGCATCGGTGGAAAAAATACAAATGCACGGATATAATGTTCACTGTGAGTTCAATATCATTAAGAGGGTTGTGGCGACATATGAAACGCTCCCTTCCTCTAAGCAGTGCACTGTTTTAAGTTCTTCTCTTTATGGAAGGAGAGTGACTCCTTTGGATCCGGATCTGTTTTGCAGCTATGGCAGTGAATACTTTAATGAGGTCGGTTGCAGCTGGCCGAATGCTTGCGGAACAATTACATTATGGAGGGGTTTTAACACGTCCTACAATACAAGACATGGATGGAACTAGACTACAGGAAGATTTACCCACTTGTCCCATGGTTTATGCTATAATCACAGATATGAAAGTTTTCGGCAATCCCAAAGTGGACAACGATCATTATGAACAATACCCGCCAACTTATCCATTGGATGCGCCCCCTCCACCTGCTTTGGTCCCTCTTACTCTCGAAAAGTCGAAGTTAAATGTTGAATGTTGCATCAGCACGGGATTTGTTACATCGAAGTGTACATGGAACCTAAACTGCGTTCGAAGTCAAGCAAGTTGTGATTGCCTTCTTGCAGTCCCTATAGATAACCAGGTATGCACTTATTGCCGAGAATTAAACCACTCCGCAAGGATGAAAAGTTTTAGTAGGCATCAACTTACTTCATATGATGTCGAACAGGAATGTTTCCCCGCAAAATAGAGTCTGTTCTCAGCGAGTTCTGAGTGATTTTCGTGGCATAAACTTGTTTGTTGTTATTCATATCTGGAGGCTGCTGTTAAAATTCATCTGAAAGATGGGATGTGAAACCCAATTCTACACCGTCTTCAGGATGTAGTTCTCAGAAGGTATCAACTGGCCAGTCTTTTTCCTGACGCGCCGTTGACATTCATTTCCTCGATCGTTTTTGCGTTAGGGTACTGTATCAAGTGTCGAGATTGACATGGGTCATGATAGGCTGTACACTACCATAGTTGTTCCTACGGATGAAGCTGCCAGCTATTGTACAAAAGGTAACACACAAGCAGATGTAAATGGCCCCGGCACATATAATCCTGAGCTCTTCCGGCTGAAAATTCCACAAGTGAGTCCTTCTTCTCTTTGGTCTATGCACTCAGGAATTCTAAAGCAGGCTTTTTCGCCCTCGTTCTTGTGTGGCGTAAACCGTGTGTAGCAGACATTAGTTGGTTTGTATAAAGACCACATGGATTACCTGTACTATGTTAATGTCTGATTTGTTCAAATAAGCTGCATATGAGATAGTATTCACAAGCTTCTTTGCAGGTGGAGGGTGGAGCAAAATTGGAAGTTAAAGTCACATGGTTCCAGTCTATGATATTTGACAACGGAATGTACTCATTGCGAGTTCCATTTGTATTTCCTGAGCATATTCTGCCTATCGCAACAAAATTGTCTTCCATCATAAAGGTCAAATGTTCAATCAACACCGGGACAAACGGTGGCGTAGAATTGGGTGCATTTGGCAATCCTATGGAGGTGTGCAGATACCAGCTTTAACTCATGCTAAGAGTTTTCCTTTTTGGCTCTCCCTCTGCTTTCGATGCACTCTATTTGAGTGTCTTTGGCACAACAGCTGCAACAGTTTTTGCAGTTTTAGTGCCCTTCTCTCATTCCGCATTCTTCTAGACACAGATTAATACAAGCTGCATGGACAGAATGATAACTTGTCGGAATTTGGTGTAGCCAGCTTTTTCTCGTGTACACATTGTGCTTCGTTAAGGGCTAAGAGGGTTCTGACCTGTTGGTCGTACATCAGGAAATTTTAAGAGAACATGGAAAGGTTATATTTAAGAAGGGAGGAAATGACTGGAAGAATCAGGATTTTATTGCTTCGTACAAAGTAAGCAGCGATCCGCTTCTTTATCCTGTTGTATTTCAATACTGATATTATCTTTTAACAGGCAGAATCTTGTTTATTAGGAATTTACATGCTAACGATGTGATTGATTGCATAAGTGGCTTACAAGTTGGTGAACAGACGTGGTCAGATGGAATATTTCCAAATTTGATTTTTCAAGACCCAGAACCTGGTGAATCTGACAATCGAGGGTCGTTTTGCCTCTCAATATCTCCCCCAGATCCAAACAAGATCAAGGTAAATTTTGGAATTAAGTTTTGACTTTCAGATTAGACTATTGATACCTTGCGCTATTCTTATGTAGCTTAACAGCGTTTTCTGAAGTTTCCTCTCTTCTAGAAGCCTCCTGCTCATACGATAAATCATTTGAATCTACCCATTTTTTTATTTTACAGCTTCGTTCTGTTCCAATTTTTTGAAGCGGTGCATGTGCTCACAGTAAAACAAAGCGCTCTTCGTGAATAGCTTGGGTTTGAGATGTTGTAGTGGTTGTTCATACTTAAACTCTTAGTCTTGAAACATACATGGTGTATTGAACACAGGTATTTCAAAGGGCTGTGGTCTTTTTGTTAGACAGGAGTGGAAGTATGAAGGGCAAGCCAATTGAAGCTGCCCGGCAGGCTCTTTATTTTGGTCTAGAATCTCTTAAACCAGAGGATTCCTTCAATATTATTGCTTTTGACCATGATCTTACCTTATTCTCGCCTCAAATGGAACGATCAACCACAACTTCCATTGCTCGGGCTTGTGAATGGTCAATGACAAATTGCACAGCCAGAGGTGGCACCGATATTCTCAGCCCTCTTCAACAGGTACTTAGTGCTCAAGTTAGTTTGTTGGTAATAATGTAGCGTTTCGGAACCTTCTTAACCGTGTGTGCAGTTTCACATGTCATCTTTACTTTGGTTTAACTTCCCTGTTGCTCCAACGTGCAGGCGTTCCAACTTCTTGAAAATTTTCCCGGTGCGATACCTTATGTGTTTTTGATCACTGACGGAGCTGTTAGTGCGGAGCAGAATATCTGTCTCACAATGCAGTCACGTATTGTCGCACTAGGTGCAAGGGCGCCTCGTATTTCCACGTTCGGAATAGGTGGGTGGTCCACTCAACCAGCAACGGAAAGAGTCTAAGCTAATACAATGCAGTTTGGATATTTCACTTGGTGAATCTATAGCCTAGGCAATTTAAATATTCATATAGACCATATTCACCAAGTGAAATATTCATTTAAATTGCGAGTTCGTCAGTGCAGGTGTTTTGTTCGTGAAGAGCTCGTGACAATATCAGCCGAATTGATAAGTGTGCACACTTGTCATCTGCGTAGCAAGCATAAGTTGCATGCTGCCGCCATTACGCATCAGGGGAGAGATATCTATGGAAGTTATTTGCATGAGAAAGCTGATTTTTTTTCTTTGCGTGTTGCAGGTCACTATTGCAACTTTTACTTCCTGAAGATGCTTGCTGTAATTGGCCGTGGCATGAATGAAGTAGCCTTCAAATCTGGTATGCTATTTTCAGTATCTTTCAGTATCAGTGTCTTTTTCAGTATCGTGTCATGGCTTATTCTGGTGCAGTAGATTCAAAATCCAACTGCACATCGTCGGCTCCAACTCTTGGGTTTTTCATAAAACAGAAAGGGAATGATCTCATGATTTGGCATAATGCTCAGATAAAATTCGGGGTCAAATGGAACGAATGCTGGTGGCTACAGCCGCTCCAGTTCTCACCAACATTGGTTTGGCAAGGTTACCTGATAATTGTGAGGTATTCCATCTATATTCTATATTTTTAATCTTCTAGTGCAGATAATCATTTCGAGTAATACGGTGCAATTAGTCCAAGTTGTTGTTATGAAAGCCTTTTGAGTATCAATTGTGGAAGTCTGGAAATGTCCTCAAATTAGTATAAGCAAGCTGTGTTTTCTAATTGAGCTGAACTTTTACTACGATTGGGAAACCAATATGTGCGGCTTTTCACTCTCCATAACGCGAAAGGTATAATTTTTTGAGTTGACCAGACACATTCATTGGTTATTTCAGGTGTATCCATTTCCAATACCAGATCTCTTTTGCGGAAATCCTTTGATAATTTCTGGAAAATTCTATGGCAAGTTCCCAGATTCTTTAATAGTTATGGGTCTCATGCCTGATCAAAGTACGTGGCAAATTGAGGTTCCAAGCAGAAATTCTTCTAAACTTCCTCTCAATAGGGTAAGAATCAAGGGAAAGCATTACATGGCATTTTACTCACCCTTACTCTAATGGTGATTTAAAAAGTATGAAACAATGTGAGAAACTTTAATATTTTAAATTTGGATTACAAGTTTTTTTTTGAATGATTTTATTTTATTCTTAGCGAGATTATCTCCAACGCAGGTTTTTGCAAAGCAGCAGTTGGATCTTTTCACTGGCCAAGCATGGTTATGTGGAAACAAAAGCAGAGAACAAGAAGTAAGTGCGCACATGATACTGCAATGCTCATTCCTACACCAATTTGTAATTCGTGTATTGAAAAGTATTTCTGCGTCTATGTGATCAATATGTTTCTAAATTCAACATTCGATCTTATGACAGGCTGTTAACTTAAGTCTATCAACAGGTTTGCCCTGTCAATACACCCGGATGATAGGCTTTGAGACAACCAGAGAGAAGTTCGAAGAGTTTCAGAGTCAACGTAAGAAGGTATCTCACTAAATTACTTGCCGAGGGTTGATTATACTAGTAGCATGATGTTTACCAGATAATATGATTTCACTTTAATCCTAGGATATTCCTTTGTAAAGGTGAAAAAATTATTTGCAACGTGAGCTCCAAGATTAGAGTAGGAATTTCGTGCGTGAGTGTACATTCATTGCAGACATTTTGCACTTGCATCCTTTAATGTCTCAGCTATTAGAGGAGGAATTAGACACGCCCTCATATGTCTCAAGTTCCTCTTCGTGAAACAAAACTCGTTAACAGTTGCATATTGCAAATCAGGAATTTGAAAGTAAACAACTTTAGGGATAATATATTTCATTGTTTCTTGCACTTCTGGCACTGAATGCATCTATGATATATGCAGGGAAAGAAGATGGACGTCAATAAGTTTATCACTGCCAAAGCTGCTGGTGTAGTGCTCATTGGAGGTCTGGTCGTTGGATTCGGCAGTGTGGCTGCTACACTAGCAAATTCGGTTATCGAGGACACAATCGCAGACTCCGTTGAGAGCGCACTGGAAAGCCTTGGTGGGACTGTTGGCGATTGGTGCGATTGTTGTTTACGTTGTTTCGAATTTATTTGCACGAATGTAGATTGTCTTTGTGGCTGTGAGTGCTGTGAGTGCTGTGGGGCTGTCCTTGAAGGATGTGAGTGCTTTTTGGGAGGTGCTTGCGAATTAATTTTCGGTTGCCTCTGCGGCCTTCTTGATATGTAAATGGACTACATTCTGAAGTTCTTTAACGTGAGAGCTACTGTGTATTTTTATTTCCAAATACCTCCTTACATGCGCAAAAATCGAGACTATCACAACCGAAGGATCATACGTTCCGATTCTTCTAGTTTGTTACAGTTGGTACCAATATGAAGGATTTTGATACATGCAACTAGATTCTTGAATGGGTAAATTTTGATCGATGGTATGCTTGTGATGAATTGACTGGACAAGTAGTAGGATCATTTAGTAACGATTTGTACGCGATGGATGTGATTAATACTATAGCTGATCAAATTGGGTAACGAATCAGTTACGATGTGATTTTTCTGAACCGCCGCCCCGATCAGTCCTGCCTCTTCACAAGTGAAGACAGGACTGATCCTCATGCCCTTCCCGTGCTCTTAACTTCTCGTCCTCCCCTGGTCAAAGAGAAATCCGTTCTTCTAAGCCGCGTTCCATCCCATCCAATTTGGGAGCTTTCACTGACAATCCATCCAGATCCAGTTTTCGGAGGTAAGCCATTCATCCGGTCATTGTGCACGTGCATTGTATATCTGATATAATCCATGCCCGTTCGTATATTGGCGTTCCTTTGTTTATGCTGTGAAAGTGGACTAGTACTCGTGTTGCTTAAGATCTTTGTGCCAAGATGATGGAAAGTTCGAATGGATTCGAATTGGCTTGTACATGGACAATGTGGTGGTGCAGTAGGAAGATAGACAAGAGACAATGGCGAGGAAGCTGATAATGGCGGAAAATCGCACGAGAATGCATTCCAAGGAGACTCCCTGGGGCAAGTACTTGCGGATGAATAACTTGGCTATACATAGATCAAAGTTACGTCATATGAAATCTACTGTGGACACTGCAGCCCCCAGACAGTGCCCCCAACAGATTATAAACAGAGAGAGGTCGGATTTTGAACAAGGTAAAACTTCTTTGTGCTAATTCGTCCGGCTAGAATCCTCCATTCTCAAGGAAGCAGAGCTTGATTCCCTGATATTGGTTTGCCTTCATCTCTATCCGACATTCGGGACATCTTGATGGCAATTAATTAACAAGTGTCCCGTCCGCTGCCACAAGAGGTACTTCCAGGATTGCGGTTGTGCACAGATGACATGATAACCATAGTATATAGGAGCGGATTTGTCCTCTAGTAGGTGTACATTTGGTGTGGATAACTTTCTTGCAGAAACCATTAACAAGCGTTTTTAACGATCGTTTGCAGGTAAGACCATCTCAAAGTACCTTTTAACTTTGTCCTCTTTTCCAAATCTGAGTCAAAACAAACGTTTTCTATGCAACAAAAATGAGAGGAAAACATGATGCAGCCTGGTATCGAAGATCACAGACTGATGCCAAATCTTCCGAAATTCACCTACAATGCAGATCAGCATCCTTAAGAACCCGCAGGATGTAAAACCCTAGTTCTACGTATCTTAGCTTGCAATTAAACTTCTCCAAGAGAAGAGCAAGGAAGCTAAGTTCGTAGGGTTTAGATTTCTCACGAATGGATTGGCAATCGTGCACTCACACAGAAAACTGAAAGGATCTGGTCGTCAGGTCATGGTTTCAGTAGCTTGTAAGGAGACTAACCTGGGGGTGGGGGGTGGGTGATGGCTGTTTTTGCTGACAATTGTTAGTGCTTGGTGGTGCTTCCAACTGGATTGGCAAATTCAAAAAGGGCGCCAAGAGTCTTTCTGATTGCAGGCCATGGTCAGTTCCGAAGATCTTGAAGAACGATCTGGCGCCGTTTTCCACACTGAGGATTCAGCCACGAGATGGTTAGTGACCTACACTACGCCTAGGATTATATTTCCATGATCTCCGCGTTAGACTGGAACTCATACGCCAGTGGAAGCGAAAGGTCTGTTTTGGCTGGCACTTCGGTTTCAATTTACCTTCAACTCTTGTGCCCCTTGAGCTTTCCCTCTCATTCCTGCATGTATTTGACCCAATTCAGAGGAAGGTAACTGTGGTGATTCTAAAGGGAAAAGGGTAGGTAAAGGGGAAAAGAAGAGATGTGGTAATATTAAACCATGTCCAAAGCCAAAAGGCTGGACAATCAACTGCGAGCGTAAGGACTCTAAAAGACCTTGTCTAACAAATTCTGAGATAGCTATCGTCAGCTTTTCTGTGGGATTATGCTGTAAGCAGCATCCAATTAGTGAACCATCCTTATCATTCCTACACTTGTCTACATTTACGACCAAATTTTCCTCTCTAGATCTTGATGGGCGTGATGCTGCGTCTAATGATCGACTTTGTGGTACTTCATGATGTCGGAACAAGTAGGCTCCCCTGAAGTGGGCGGCAAGTACTGACTTGATAATCGCTGACCAGTTAGTAAAATTAAGTATTAACAGATGGCTTAAATTTGACTGGCAGTTCCTGAAGGACGTAAGAAGAGTGTGAGTGAAATAGGTAAGGAAAACACTAGACCGATTGACTTGGTAGTGTCCGTCATGCACTCCCTCTGCAGCTGCATTCTCTGGTTCTAGCACCTGGTGTGACTCGGTTTTCGCAGTGCACGGCAAGTTTCAATGACAGTCTGCATTATAGGGAATATCTACTAGAGTAGGTGTAGGATAGTAGTTTTAAATGCTGCGAGTATTCATGATCAGTTATCCCCATGTATTCGTCTCAAACGCTTCATCTTAATATCGTATGAATGTAAATCAATGATGGAAGTTACCGAGATTCATCACGACGAGCATTCTACATTTGATAGAATAAAAGAAAGAGAACACTGGAGATGGCAGGTATGTCCAATCTTTCATGGGTAACTAGGTAAGCTTTTGAGTCCCAAAGACTATTCTAAGAGTTTGGACACATCGTGGGTGAGGAATTAATTCTTCTACCCATAACCGATGACCCACATTGGTTACTATTCGCTGTATTATTATCCGTACATGCATTGTATTTTTCTCAACGCAATGCTTGTTTTCATTTTCTAATGTGTCATGGTGTTTGCTTAGATAGGTTGCGAGTAATAGAGCAAAGCCTCCAATGTCACAAGCAAAGGATACGCAAAATCCAAAAGGGTCCTTCGGTATACACTTGTAAGAAGAAAAACTATCTCAACCGCGGAGAAGCGCCATTATATCACAAGTATGCAAGATTCTTCCCTTGCACACATGCATCAGATCCTTACTGCTGTAAGCCTACGGCATGCAGTGTAAAGACGAGTAACGACAGGGTAACTCGTACAGGAAAGATAGAGTTCTTCATCTACTAGGAGATCAAATCTGTATATTGGCAAATGTGAATAGCAAATGTCTGTCACAGTTTCAACACATGTGAAATGCAGCTCGACTTTTGCCATTAGTTTGTAATACCCTATGTGACACTGCTGGTGCTGCAAATGTCCATGCCCGTCGAGATCATCACCGTGGATGCGAAGCTGAAGGAAATACGAAAGTGGGCTATGAGACACCGTGTGAAGCCTGCTCCAGCAGCAGCGCCCACTGGCATTAGGACATTCTTCTCTCCAAAGCCGGCCCCGGAGCCGGCTTCGGAACTAGGGCCCATCTCCTCTGTGACAGAAGGTATGTGGTCCTGTATTCAACCAGTTGCCGTCAAGACTAAAGTTCAATAACGCAGATCCTGTTGTCTACAAGAATCAACAGTCAATTCAAGATTAAAACCTGAATTATTGTAAATGACTTGGTGGTTGCGCAATGCAGAAGAGGCTGCCAAAAATCCTATTCTTGCGCAGCTCAAAGTAGTGCAAGAGGCTGGTGATCCCAACTTTTGAAACATCCTTAGTAGGATTTGGTTTGAATATACCAGGGACCATTCTTCGTTTCCGGCTTTCACTCACTCAACAAATACAAATTCGCTACTTGGCATGTAAGTTCACACGATAAAACACTAACGTATGAATGTTTCACATATTAACATTTCTGAAAAATCTGAGTAAGCTGATGAGGTACATTTAAATATCTTCAGGGTATGGTTGAGAGCTAAATGACTGATGCCACACCGATTAGTTTAACGATCCTAGGGAAACAGCCAAAAAAGAGAACCAGGCACAGTACTGTTATAATTAACTAATCTAGTAGCCTACCTGCATCCTCAGCATCTAGAATATTTGCACTAAGATTGGTGAGTGTGTAAATTTCGTTAGTGAATACCCGATCAAGAAATGAAACTAAAAAATTGTCGTTCTTCAAAAATCCCATCTTTCTAATTGTAGCTCTGCCTCTCCCAAGTCTTTTTGTGCCTTTTTTCTCCTGTAAAATATTGGACAGTCTCGGCTGCAATCCAACAAATGTCTGTTAATTTAATCATTTAAAAGCGGGTATATTTTTCGTACTGCTCGGAAAGCACATTTGAAACAGGAGAAATGTAGCACATCTCCGAAAACCTACTCAGCAGTTATGGAGATAAACTTTAAGCTAAGAATTGCATCCGGTATCATGAAAAAACCTTGTGCATAGAACATCCTGATGTAAAGAACCTTGACAGCGCTGACATTGTGTCCACAGCCTCCCGAATAGCTGTTCCAGATCTCTCACTGCACAAATGTAAGTTGGCATATCATAAACAGTAAAGGCCATCATTATCGATATAACCTTCAATCAAAGGAAGTGTATTCAATGCAAAACCCGAGAATATACTACTGCAAGACCATTCTACCATGTAAACAAGCTCTGATTCACATATAGTCAACATTGCGCCAATGTTAGCCAAATGGCAGCGCTAGAAAACCCAGCTCTACATGCATGAAATAAGTCCTTGAATTTCAGAGTTGGAGTAACCTGAAAATCTGAAGTCAAAAGTAATCAGTCCTAAGGAATTACGAACCGTTTGCAACTGTTTTCTGATATAATTCAGCTTCACGCCCCTGACAATGTTTGCACAGGATTTGATTCTCCTCGCTGCTAAAAAAAGATTATAAAAGTCAAGTATTACAAAACCATCCAAGTGCATGGAATAATTCCGAAAAAGGATCTAAATACGAATTGGATAATTGGGAAGTAGTGATATTCCTCGTGGCTCCTTCAGTTTAATGAGAGAACAAGTTACCTGATTGGGGTCCTACAACCAGCGCAGCTGACGCGCTTCTTTGCAAACTTCATAATTCCGCCGTTGGAAGGCGTCGATATAGAGACCGATCGAGTATGAGATCCATGAAGTAATTCTTTGCTTGCGTTTTTAAGAATTGGATCAAAAATGCGCAATAGGGGCTTTTCATTATGAACACACCAGATGTTAGTCATGAAGATAAATCTTCTGCACTAGACACAATGCCCACACCTAATTTTTCTGAATACTGTGAGACGCAATCATTACAATATACCAGTACTTCTAGGACCAGACCCTTGTTCTGTAGTGGTATCACAACATTAAACGCCCCTGCACACAGGTCTGTAGAGAATAATTTCCAAGTGCAAACCATAAAAGTCTGACTTTAAGCCAAAAACACATCATTGAAGACGCACCTTACTCAGCTGGTTTTCCAAGTAGTATTGTGGATCAATCGGAATATTATTCTCCAAAACATAGATTGGATCTTCTGACTTCTCATACGCCTACAAGACGACACATTGATTTTAGTCTCTAGTTAGAATCTCGCAGAACTTATCTTCATTTCTCTTATGACAACAGCAATTAGCATATTTGGACGTAGTCAGTAGGACACCAGCATCTTCAAATAACTCCACAATAATCCAGACGAATCATGTGATACCTTTGCACCCTTTGCTGCCTTAATGATGACGTAAGGAACGCGATCACCAACAGTAGGAGCAGTTGCAGCGTCCCGCTGAAGAGAAGGATAAGCACACCCACAAAACACATCACGTTGTTTTAGTTCCGGCACAACCATGGATAGAATTGTTTAGCCTGAAGTGAAATTGCACCAGATTGCAAAAATGTTCTCATATAGGTGATACAAAGTTCCTGTAAGGCTCTATGCAAAAGCTTTCGTCAGAGTGTATATATGTTCCCGGAAAGTTCCTTGAAATGTCACAACCTAATTTGTGAGCAGTACTGTATTTCTACTCACCTTGCGCATGCGTTCAGCTAGCTCAACATGAGCAGTTTTGCTTTCATACGCATCCCCTGCCTTTGTCAAACCCTGCAAATGAAAGACCCTGGATTACCACACACAAGATTTATGGCAGATTGACAGCTACACCTCGAAATATAGAGTGGTTGTCCTCGTAGGCGAGACCTGCCCAATTATAAAGAAAACCGAAAACGAATAGAAAAGTGCCAGCAAGGAGCCAAAATACACGAGAAGCACAAACCGTGTATATGGTCGAAATTATAGATGTATCTCACCTTTGTGATGACAAGAAGAGACAAGTCCATTCTATTCATGAGCAGGTCAGAGATTGTATTTTTGACATACTGAACAGCTCCAGGAATATCACGATCAATGAGGATTTTATGAAGACACTCAGTGATCAGGTTCTTTACAAGCAGACAATTGTCTCTTCTCACAGTCTCGATTCCTGAATTTTCATTATTCACGCCTTGCATCCGTTAGTTTCGGAACGATTGGATGATTCATTTTTATAAACAGCACTAATTCTTGCTGAAAGGACTTCCACATCAATTGTCCCCTCCTCCACCCCACCTTTTTTTTTTTCAAATTTTAAAAAAGAATTTGATCTTTCTTCTAAATTCGTACCTTTGGTATCCATTTTATCATATTTCTCTGGCTTGGTCCACAAGAGCCCCGCGTATCTCTTTTTACTGATGAGCAGATATGGCCAATAAACTTTCTCAAACTCCAACTTGATAGGCTGGTGGTATCCCACGAACATAAGATTCATTAGCAACTAAACCCTCCTCTAGAAATGAACCAAAAAAGCACAAAATACTAATTCTCAAATCAGTCGAGCAACAGCAGTGATAATCCTTTCCTCAAAAACTAAAGAGAGCCTTCTATGTTGGTGTATCAGTCAAAAGAAGAACCTTTGTGAAGGTGGCACTGATCTGCTGTGCGGCCTCCCTTCCCAACTTCATGGCTTCATCAACATCAGGAGTTCCAAACTGCACCATGACCGAGTCTGTGTCTCCATAGATAACCTGGTCGTCCAATGAGACAACCTAAGTCAAAACTGACTACCAAGGTTGAGACACAATTCGAGCCAGATTTCAAAGAAGCATGTCTATACTGTTGCTGCACACACTAATTCTATGCTTTCGGTCGTCCTACGTGAAGTCTTGTATTGGTTTAAGAGTCAAAGACCAGATCGTTAGACACAACTATCAACTTGAAAATTGCAGAGGGTTTAAACCACTTCACAGCACACGGTTTCTCACCTCAGCATCATAACTGTAACTGTTTGATGTATTAAAGCGCTCCTGAACCAATTTCTTTGTATGATCGATCATCTGGCGCCCTGTCATACACAGAACAACTTAAACCGATCATAAGACTCTCAAGATCAAGACATAATTTAATGCATACTTCATGAACACCCACCTGCAATAACTAGGTTGAATTCTCTCCAAAAAAAGCTAGCAGAGACACAATACCGTTTGTTTAAATTCAAACACATCGAAGCAATCAGTCTACAGAGTCAAATAAAGGTCAATTATCCCTTAAACATCAATCCTCTTTTCAAATACTGGGATTAGTCTACGGTGAATGCATTTCAGAGCTCAAAACCTGATGAATTCATAGCAACTTCAACAAAAATATTATTTCAAAGATTATACCCTCAATAAAGTGTATTGACCTCTGATTCAGATTTAAAAGACTAATTTTAAAATATGCATTCTGAAAATTTCGTGAAATCGGTTTCCTAAGATTTCAAATGATTAAAAAATCCAACATATAAATTATCGAAACAATCTACACGTATACATGATTGACAAGCAAACATGCTATTTCAGGTTTCAAATCCATACACCAGAGTAAACCATTTTCTTGCAAGATGTTAGGATTCTTTCATGATATTTAACTTTCAAATTCAGACACTGGAATTCGAAAGTTTGATGAATTTTCAGAAATTTCCTGTCGGTAAAGTTTACAAAATTTTCATCTAAAACTACAAATTCGCGTGAAAATATTTTCAAGGCACAGCCGAGTTTAAGGGTTAACCTCCCACCCCCGCTACCAACGGTCGAGGAGCTGAATTTAATTTGATTGAGCTCCACACTTAAGTGTTGATACTTTCGAAACTTAGAACACTTTCTGATGAAGAGTAACAAGAAAAAAAAAATCAATTGCGACTAATGGATGTCAAGTTTCTGACTTACCAAAACTCGTAACACTGGAAGAGATCTCAAGACATGGCAGCTGCCCAACTGTTGCCCCCGTAAATCCATACACTGAGTTGGCACTCACCTACAACTCTTCAGATTATTAGGAAATGTCATTGTCTCTGCCCCATGTTCAGAAATCCTCCTGCCACTACGCCTATGCAAAAATGTACAGCAGTACGCAAAATTTAAATTAATGTTGCTATACTTTCTTTCTTTTTTTTTCATTGAAAGTTCCAGGCAGGTTAACTACAAACACCTTGAGGGCAAGCTGCCGACCATCCAACACAGCCTTCTCCAACGGGTCTGTTGCTTCCTGTCGGCCAGCGCGGATCCATCTAAGGGTTCATGTGCATGATAAACATAATCGAGAACAATGAAGAAGCAAGAACCACAAACTGGAACGCCCATAAGTATTGGTGCCAGCAGGAGCTGACGTTTGCGCAGCCTTAACTCAATTCTAAACTCCAAGCGAGATCAAACGGAGAGAAGGCCAAGCTAAAAATACTAACTTTCAAATCAGCTTTTGCTCGCTTGCGTGCTGCTAGCAGCTCTTCAAGAATCTCAGGCAATATTCCCTAGAACAATCAGGGGATCAGTTTGAGGCAATGTCGCACACAGCTTGAGCAGAAGAAAATGTTAACAACAATTCAAATCGCAGAAGCTCTAAATGTAGATATTTGCAAGCACTTAGTACGGTCTATTGAGATCACAGTCAAGAATATAAGACCGGAGGATTGAAATCCCAAAATGATTTACAAACTTCATGATTCGAGCATTACTGCTAAGCAAGCAGAGTAATTAAAGTGCGAAAAAATTGGTCCGTACTGACTATTGCGACAGTAATGAGACGACAGATTTTTCCAGGGTTCAAATTAATTCTGACCTTTTCCAAACTGGGTTTAACAAACACATCTCCGGATGGAGTTTTAGTCACTTCTTCTGGTCCCAACATGAACTTCTGCAGGTCCTCTGCTCTAACCTGAATGTTTTCAGAAAATCAGATCGATATGCGTATCTGGAGAATTATGAAACGTCGGCATAGGTACAAATGCACTTCAAAGCATCAAGCCACGATTGTAAGAGGTTACCAAAGTGCAGTAACAAAGATTGTACGCCATCATGATGGAGGGGTACAATGATGCAAAATCCAAAGTGGCAATTGGCTTGTCATAGTACCCTGCTTTAGCATCTAATACCTGTCAAACGAGACCCGATGAGCTTGATAAACCAGGTTCTTGGAAAGGAGATAGCATATGGTAATGTAACAACTAGTGCACAACATTTCTCATGCAAAAGAAATGTAACAACAATAATATTGTTTTAAAAATAAAATTAAAAAACTTACAGTAGCTCCTTCAAAGGTCTCTCCTCCTCCTGCTCCTTGAGACTTGACATTAGGCAACACAAAATTCCTTTGCTTCGATTTTCTCAAGAGTTGTGATAAGACCTACCACATATGACGACACATGAAAACATGATGCTGAATAATAAGCTCCAGGCTACTAAAGTGAGTTACTGAGGAGCAAAATATATGACCCTTTAAAAGCTTTGAAAAATCCATGATAAGTATACAAGTAACCATCAAGAACTCGTTGAGACAAAAAAAAAAAAAAAAAAAAAAAAAAAAAAAACTTACGACGTTCGTACATGGATCACAAAAAATTATCCTTCACACAATCCTAGCGAAGAACACTTAAATGGGTCGGTATAAAGATATATGAGCCTTCACCTTGATACTCTGGCCTCTAGCAAGAAGGAAGGAAATGGGAACACCCGTAACGCGAGCCATTTCAACATAATTGTAAACGAACATAAGCTTGTCCAATAATCTTTGAGGAAGATAAGCATCCTGTGTTTGAATTAAAGAATGTCGATGTCAGTTCGTGATGTGCACGCTACTCGACCTGTGTATTCAAGTTGTGTCTAATACCAAGGCATAAAGAATCAAATAAAGGAAGACAAATCTGATAGACATTTGTAAAACACTGCTGCACATGAGCTTAAATCAAGACACCCATACCTTCAGACAATAAACTGCTAACCTTCGGCGAGTTTCAGAATTGCCATTCTGAAGGTCAGAGATAATAGAATGATGCACATCCTCCTTCTGCTCCCAATAACACACAAGCATCATAATTCGGTAACAAGGCCCTTGCTAATTGCATGAATCAGCTGCTAGGCTTTTGAGACCAAATTTCAAATTTGACTCAACATAATAAAATAATAGCGTAGGTAAATTAAAAGACGATTACCTGCTCTCCTAGAAAGTGCGCAGAAACTGAGTTCAATGAGTAAGAACTAAGTTTGTAGTCCCTTTGGATGGCCTGTATATCAAGTGCACAAATAAAGGAAGTAAAACATGCAAACAAAACTTCTCGATCTGCAAAGATAACAATCGCACAGAAATTTTGAACTTTCTGTCTACCACAGAGACGATACTCACCAATTGGCAAGTATAAAGCAGATTACCTGAAGAAGATCAAATTGGACCCGTCCTTCTATTGTCACTTCTTTGCTTTCTCTAATGCCATATTGCCTGAGCCGAACATTAAATATTAAGTATGATGAGACAGCGAACTGATCCTAGCCCGGAATCTGGCCACCATTTCTACAGAAACCTTCAAAAATTATACTACCATTAGCAGACCACATACTGCAGTCTGCTGTTTACTAAAAATCTCTGCCGAAACATTAGTCAAATGTTCATACCTTGACGAAAAAGACGCATCTTTAATACGAAGTCGACTGTTTCTTATACGTCCAAGCATTGGAAATTCAACCACGTTCAACTTCTGTGCCCTCTGTCAATGAAACCAACACAAGTAAACACAGAAAAATAGGATTTTTTTGCTAAAAAAACAAAGTATCGTTACAAAAGACAGATTCAAAGGGGATGTGCAGTAAGGCACATAAATCGACATGAAGGTCGACTGCACTTAGCCAGTAATTAGTCAATCAAGATAATCAAGAAGCAGCGAATGAAACCGTTTGATAATAAGTACATGGCAATATACCCTACCTCGATAAGATAGGGTAAGTCAAATTTACAAATGTTGTATCCAATGATAATATCCGGATCTACTTCTGTGACCAACTCCTACAAAACCACCATTAGCATTCGTAACTCAAAAATGAACATGCCCTTGAAGTGTGAAGTTCAATCGGCTGTGACACTGTACCAATGATTGTGTTGCCTATTACTTAATCAGTAAGCAATTGCCTAAGACAATCCTACTGAAGCAGTCTAACTAGATTATTTGAGCTGCGAGCTCAGGCATTCAAAAAATTATACAAGCACTAAGCAGCCATATATACCGATAAGTCCGAAAATATAGATTAAGCTATGAAAAGAGAATTCAGTCCAAGACATAGTGCATTCTGCTAAGGAGCATTGTCCTTACCCGCCAAGCAAGAAGAACCTCTTTCTCTGTATCGAATGACATCACGTCAGCACCAACAATAGGTGAACATGACTTTAGAGTCATGACATTCTTCACCATGGGTCGCTGCTCACCTTGCACTGTAACCAAGTTGGCGATCTAGCCAACAATTCCAGCAATCGAATGTTACTTTCAATGACATCTAAAACATTTCAGGTCTCCACCAATAATGACATTTAAAATACAAAAAAGAACACATTTTCCTGGTTTGCAGACATGAAAAAAAATAAATTTTCTACATCTAATACCACCATAATTTCAGCTAGTAAATACATGTCCCATACGACATGCCATTACAACGACTGAAACACAACACTAGCTTACTTCCTCCAACCCAGCGTGAGACGTTAAATTCAAGTCTGGGAACTTACCTGAATGACAGGATCATGCTCTGGCTCTGGGAAATGACCTTTTCTCCCAGCACACTCAATGTCAAAGCTTAGAATCCGAAACGGGGCCATCTTCGAGTATTGACCTACTGGTGCATAACTGACAATTTTGCTGTAGCTGAACGCGAAGTCAAGAAATCAAAAATAAAGAAGTAAACTACACATTTGCATATTCTCCAAGAAAATGGATAAATTAACTAACTTATTGTCTCACTTATGAATTGGACAGCTCAACTTTTTTAGACCCGTTAGTATCAAAAACTTGATTAGAAAGTATTCAAACGCAACACGATTTAATTGAAATATCCTAGTAAAGCATCATCACATGGTCAAAGCACTGGCAAAAGACATAGCGTACAAAATTTATCACAGTTTGAAAATGTCGGTTGAGCAAAACAAGATCCCTTCGAACCAGGATCCTTGGCAAGAAATAGGATACTGTATGTCCAATTCCAACTGGCAATAGGACAACCGTCTTGTACTCTTGCAGTAGTTTCCAGCTGGAAGCTCAATCCAATTTCCACCAACAATATCGCAATCAATCATGAAACGCAGTGCAAATAGCACATTGCTCTCATATGTCAAGAAACACCGTTGACCGATGCCATCGATATTGATACCTTTTTCCAGGATTCCTAGAGCAAACAAACACCGACCAGACAGTGCTATGAAAACAGGAGATGGTTTGAACGAACATTTGAAAAGTAGCCTTTTCAAATCATCCACTTGCAGAGTAAATGTACTGTATATAAAGTTCAGAAATGCAGAAATAGATCAGGACCTAATGAGTATGTTTGCTTCGGAACAATCTAACACCAATGAGTTGTTAATTGTTCACAATATAAAAGTTCTTGCCTTCATACCTCTACAACCAGCCACCATGGTTGGCAAAGCAACAACAATTTTCAAGAAAGAACGAGCCTTCTGCACTTGATAGTACATAACACTACGCTTCTGTACAATCTCGATCTTGGTAATAAAGTTTTGAGTTTTGCTATTCCTGTTTGCCTCTCGCATGCGTGTCTGTCACCCATACATGTAAAAATCCCCATTTTCTTTGAGATATTACAAGGACTGATTCCAATCAATATCACATTGTATAATGCCAGCAACTATTTAATAGTGAAGAGCACATTTAAATTGAATAGCTGGACAAGGTTCCTCACCTCCAAAGTACTACGAAATTTAGGAACATCGTCCGGCCCAATACCATCAAGACAGCTGATATAGAAATATGGTTCAAAACCATGTACATTACCACAAACGCTGTTTCCTGCACCAATTTAGACAGTAGCAACAACACAATGTCACATCAAATTCGGAAGTGACAGACAGCAGGTACACGGCAGCATTATAAAATCCAAATCTAGTGATGTGATATCTAATATTCCGAAAAACAACACCTCCAGTACATTGCTAAATAGAAAGCTTCTGGGCTCGGCAATGATTGCAGGTTATTGCGTCTTTCAACAATAACATGAAAGATAAAAATTCGTCATTGTGAATACTATAGGCTTTAGAGAGTAATAGACAGTAACTGTTGAACGAAATTCAAGCGATGATTCAGTAGACACCTTCTTGTGTCACCCCAAACATGCGAAGTACCGCAGCTGGTCCACTTCTGTAAGGACAGAGTTCTTTGTGGCTGTCCCCGATGACGTAATCAATCTCAAGCTGCTGAAACACTGACAAAACTTCTATTAATTAGCCAGAGGGGCTGGGTCAAATGGTGTAATTCCAAATCAATTAAAATTGCTTGTAGAAAAACATAAACGAAAGTCGCTTTGCTCAGTCTCTTAAATATATTCCCTGACTGCACTTAGGCAAGAAACTCGATCACATGAATTTACAGACTACTATCCAGCAGGGCGAGAAAATATCACACCTAAGCTGCTCGTTTCAGTATCAAGGCTAGAAATGGCAGGGCGTCTCCATTTGGTGAACAGAGCAGCTACTGCAGCCCGGGATGCATTCATCTCTTCATCACGTAATAAGGTCTCCTCCAAAAATACGTCCTCATCCTCTTCCTCCATGACATCTGGTGGCAGTACTAGTGGCGGCGGGTAACCTTGACCATTTGCTTGCAGCCGCTTCGAAGGCGGCAAATTAGCATGCATACCGGTTCTCTTCTTCGAATCCATAATGCCAATTCCACCCGTAAAATTCAACACCTGCAAAACCTCCACACTCCAAACAAAATTCCAAACTACACTAAAATCTCCATCCCATCCGTTTCTTCTTCTCCCACGTCCAATTCTCCACCGCAATCACTTACTCCTCATGCATCTAACTCCACAAACCTCCCAGCTCCAAATTCGAAACCCAAAATTTTGCCTCCCAGAAACTTCACCACCGATCTCTCCACAGGGCAATACCGACTAACACCAAATAAAATGTGCAGAATGCTCTCTGTTCATCTAATTCGCTGACGACGAACCGCAATCGTGGACAAAAGCGAGACGATCTGGCGGAAAATTAATGCTCTGAGGCGGCTCTCCTCCACTCTTCGTTCCCGCCATCTTCCTGGTTTGATATTTCTGCTCAGCTCGACCGCCATTAAATTACTTAAATGAGTAGGAGATACTGAATGAATGATATCTGTCCGACTTGCATAGTTGTGAATAGAAAATGATGTAGTGCCAGGTCATTTGTTACGTGTCGCGGTGCTCACCGACTACCGTGACACATGGGCAGGCGTAGGAAGTGAAGGGAGGAGAGAAGCTGAGGGGTTTGGAGACTTGCAGCAGCAGAGGGCGAGAATTGGTGCGCACTCAGTAGAGTTCGATTACGGTTGTTGGAGTCGTTAGTTGGAGATAGCGTAGCAGATTGTGGTTGATGTGTGCAATTAGTGGAGATGGATGATGTGGAGAGGAACTTCGATTTCGGGGAGGAGGATGACAATGGTGCTGTCGTAATAGCCAAGGGGAAAGAGCTGGAAAATTCATGGGCAGAGACTACACAAGAGGTGCAGAAGCAGATGCAGCTCCTGGCTTCGTTCGGTACAGTGGGCGGAATGGCTGATGTCGCGATGGTGCCACGGACGAATGCGTTGTTGCAGGACCACATCGCCAAGCTGCGAGCCCTAATTGTGCGTTATGAGATGATTGCTCAGCAGTACCCTACGTAAGTGGCGCATGGAATAGCCGGTGTCTATTTTCGAATTTTAATTTATTGTTACAATTTCATTGCGACCGTTGTGGTGATTCAGTATTTGCTTATGTTCATGCTTTGACGTTGTGCAGAGAGGAGGGAGTTCAGGCCAGTATGAGGACTGTAAATGATTGGAAAGATCAAATTCAGGCGTGGGTCCATCACATCCTTTCACTTGTTACTGATATCTTTCTTCTGGTCAATATAGTATGCTTTTACCTTTTCCGTGGTAGTAACTAGGTCCACGGAATTGTAGTTTTGTCACCTTGTTCCTGAAATTGGTGTGTCACAATCGATTTCAGCAGAAGCAGGGCCTGAAAAATCCTTTGTCCGACCATGTACCCATTCCTCAACCGTATCTTGTTCGTGCAGATTGCGAATGAGCTCAAGAAATGCTAATCTTCAGGCCAAACGTAATATTGATCAAGCTGTTATGAGTGAGGTCAGATCACGTTTCATAGTAAGCTGCGCAATAGAATAAATAGGGTTTGCCTCTTTGTAAGCATGCATTGTGGTTTTTGAGGCATTTCCCGATGTCTCTAAGCAAACTCATCGCAAGACAGCTACTACATGCTGCGGATGAATTTTGTGCTATCTTATAGACAATTATCATTACTGAAATTGCAATGACCATCAGTGCTTTTGCAAATGTGATTTTCAGAGGGAGCAGCTTCTTTCTGGTGGACAGGATGCTGACCTTCGCCGCAAACAGTTGCAGTAAGATTTATTACGTCCTCTTTCTAGCTTTCATACTGATGAATCTTTTCTTAACGATGTGAACTTTTTCTTGGGTTACTTGCAATATGATCTCCCTCCGATTATCTAATGGCCCTACTTTATGAAATTATGCAATCCTCATCATGTATTCACTTTGATAAATGTCTCTGCATTCAAGAACAAAAGCTGGAATGACTTCTGCTGCCGAGGGCATTACTGATGGATTGCGTCGCACCCGCCAAATCATGATTCAGGTCAGATCAGGGTTTCATTTGACCTCTTGCTTCACAATTGTGGGAATACAGAGCTTGAATGAGTGACTGCTGAAACAAGTTGTCTAGGACTGAAACCATGGTATTAGTAGTCTATGAGTTGGGACGTGCTCTAAGTAGGCATATTAAGGATTATTCATGGACAGTCCTGGAATTACGTCTCTAAATTCTGTGACTCACTTGAAGCCTAATCCTGGTCGCTTGATAAACAGAAGGCCTCTGCCGTGCACTTGGAATGTATTACTTTTACTTGTTGTGGATATAGGAGTAATGCTGGCAACTAGAAATGACGATATGTGCCGCAACACACTCTTAGCTCTACGCTGGCAATCTTACATTTGTTCATTGTCATGGGTTTTGTACCATGATTCCTGCTGCCCTGCTGCAATTTATATATCCACTTGATCTTGAAATGTTTGCAGGAGGTGGAACGAAATGCAGCTACTTTGGGTGTATTAGGTGAGATCACATGATCTCATGAGATTAGTCGACTTGTACTTCTTACTGATGAAGTTGAAAATCTATGGTTAATGTTTTGCAAGCTCTCATGTTCTATCCAATCAGTGATAAAATATGCATGATGCAACGCGGGGTTTCTACCTTGAAAATTTGATTACAGATACTGACTAATTATTTTGCTGGTCATGGTCAGATCAATCAAATGCTACACTTAGGAAGGCAGACGCAGAGTACAAAGGTCAACGCTCTATTTTAGGTGTCACTCGTTCCAAGATAAACTCAATGACCAGACAGGATTTGATTGACAGGTATGATGCCTTCTGTTTTTCATTCCTTTATTGAACTATTAGGTACTTCTGGTGGTAAGACGAAGTGATAACTCATCTCTTGTCACTTATGCTGGATTTCGTTCTGGTTGTCATCCTCCAGTAAACTCTTCATATTAAGGAAAAGATCAGCGTTTCTAATCTGTGTCGGGTGATGGATTCTATACAGGGCATTGGTGATCTTCTTTGTCTTCGTCTTCATCTCCGTGTGTTTCTATATTACTCTGAGGCGGTTGCCAATTGTGAAGCATTATGTACGAGGGTCTTCTATATTGCCGTTGCATCAGCCACTACTGAAGGATTCTGCACCACCTCATTCACCACCTTCATATCCCCAAGCTCCTCCTCGAGATTCTTTGTCCAGAGGTGAATTTCATGAACCTGATGTTTATGACACTGCCCCACAGTTTCATGAGCACCAGGGTGCTCAGTCCCAGGTTTTTACTGCTCGAGGTGCACCAGAATATGTCTTACAAACTGCACATGACAGTGCAAAGGACCCTTGGTACCTTGAAGAGTTGTGAAACACGCCTTGTTGACCTTTGAGGTCAAACTCAGCATCAATATCCTTGTTTTACTTTTATTTTATTTTGGAGTGTGAATATGTCATTAAAACTTAATGAAAAATTAAATGTTCTGTGTCTGGATCTTGAAGCGTGCTATGTCTTGTTCATCTGTTGTATTTTTTGCACTGAATTTTAAGGAGTTGAGTTCTTTCATGACATTGCTTTCTTAATGTGATTTTTAAAATGATTTAGAGCATCAAAGTATTTCCAAATGTTTTTTTGACTTCGAAAAAGATTTTCGAGAGAACCTTTGAATACTTCGTAGAAACAATTTTAATGGTGATGATAATAATATGTACTGTGAATAAATAAACAATTCATAAAGAGTACAAATATATTGTGAGCTTAGTACTCAACTTTATTAAAGCCTCACTAAACACACACACACACACACATATATATATATATATATATATATATTCCTACACACAGGTTATTACAAATCTTCAATTGTTACTGTCCATCAACAAAAATCGGTAATGAGTTGTTGTATGGTCCGCTGTCTAATTTGGGTTTTATCCACTACCGACTAAAGCATCCATTATGTTACATTTAATTAACACGTCTATTACAAACCTTCGAAATTATTCTTGCAAGACGCGAAATCTACAAAACGCCCAAATTGTAAACCATCAGGCAATTCCATTGGATCATTCATTCAGGGTTGTGGAAGTGACGACGAGAACGCTCTGTTCCCCGAAGTGGGGAACAAGATGGGTTTGGCGTTGAAATGCGTTCCCCACAGGTTTGACACAATTTGCCGTTATAAGGGCGAAGTGCCAACTCGGATGTTAGGGGGGTTATAGCCAGCTAGCAGCGCTCATGGATCCCACTTGAATCGTGCGTAAACGGTGGGCGAGCCCCGCCCCCGCCCTCCTGTCCGGTTAGGTCGTCTCCCTTGTCTAGTCCTCTGGTTCATATACGAAGCTCTTGAATCGCTCGGATTGAGCACTGGTATTGCCTTCAGTCGCTGCGACTCGTTTCTCTCCTGTCTTGGTTGCACATTCCCCTGTGTTAGCTCACAGAGACTTGAATTGTTTGCGCCTTCTTGTATCATTATATTTATTTTATCATTATATTTTATTTTTAATCAAATTTTTTTCCTGACATTTAAGATAACTGTGAGTGGTGAGCATTTTTTATCTTGTTTTATAGAAGTTTGCGCTTGGAGCGTGTATGCCACGCCTGGATGTTTTGTTGTTGGACAGAGCAATGTTAGCTTTGTATATTGGTGATCTGCATTAGGGTTCGAGGTGGAAGTCTGATAGCGTTGAGAGACTTGGCATGCGCAGGATTATGTGAGGAGAAGTGGGAGTTGGGAAAGGAGGAAGGTGAGAATCTGGCGAGTGAGAGGTGAGGATCTGTTTGCGATTGATTTTGGAGCTGGTGTAATCAAAACAACGCTATAATGGAGTATACACAGGAGACGTTGAAGACACTCTCTCAGTGTTTTCTGCAGACTCTTGCTCCTAATCCTGAGCCCCGGAAGCAAGCGGAAAGCTTATTGAAGCAGGCGGCGGATCAGGCCGGCTATGGAATGGTAATTATGCAGATTGTTTGCGAGCCCTCAGTAGACGAGCAAGTGAGGCAGGCTGCAGCTGTGAATTTCAAGAACCATATTAAATTCCGATGGGCAACTCCAGATGCTGACGATCCATCCCCTGTGGTCGCTATTCAAGACCCGGAGAAGGAACAGATCAAGGGTGCGATTGTCAAGTTGATGCTCAGTACTCCTCCTAAGATCCAGTCACAGCTTAGCGAAGCCCTGGCTATTATGAGTCAGCACGACTATCCCAGGAAATGGCAGTCGCTTCTGCCTGAGCTTGTGAACAGCTTGTCTACTGCTTCTGACTACACAGTCATCAACGGCATCTTGCAGACAGCCAACTCAATTTTTAAGCGATTTAGGTATGAATTCAAGTCAAATGAGCTGTATACGGATTTGAAATACTGTCTTGATGGCTTTTGTGCCCCACTCTTGGACATTTTTCAGAAGACTGGGCTGGTCATTGCTGCTAATACCGAAAATCCCGCTATTTTGAAGCCGCCGTTCGAATGCCTACGATTGTGTAGCCGGATATTTTATTCTCTCAACTTCCAGGAACTCCCTGAGTTTTTCGAAGAGCATATAGCGGAGTGGATGGGAGAGTTTCACAAGTATTTGGTATATACGAATCCTCTATTGGCTGAAAGGGATTCTGAGAAAACAAGCGTTGTAGATGAACTAAAGGCAGCAATTTGCGAGAATATCAATCTGTACATGGAGAAAAACGAAGAAGAATTTCAGGCTTATTTGAGTCAATTTGCGACGGATGTATGGGGCTTACTCATGACCGTTTCTTTGGCTCCCAGCCAAGATCGGTTGGCAACAACTGCCATTAAGTTTCTGACCACCGTGAGTAAGAGTGTCCATCACAAGCTGTTTGCAGATCCTGCAACCTTAACACAGATTTGTGAAAGTATTGTTATTCCAAACGTGAGAATTCGAGACGAAGATGAAGAGCTCTTTGACATGAATCACGTTGAGTACATTAGACGCGATGTGGAAGGGAGTGACTTGGACACCAGGTATATCCACAACGTACTCTGATTCTAAGAAAGTACTGATGCAATGCCAAGAAAAAGTGTTGTTTCGGGCTTGCATCAGTACATTCTATTGGTACTTAAATCGTAACGGTGTCCTTGTACCGAAAGGTACACTATGATGCTCAGGTATCCTAACGAAGTGCTATTTTGAACTGACTCCAGTAGATTTGTCGTAGTGATGGTCGAGCTTGAACAGATAGAAGTTGAAAGAAGTGAAAGGTTTTGTTCGAGGTTACTTTTCGATCAGTATCAACCTATGAAAGTGACAATCTATTTGATAATGAAGTGTGCGTCGTTTTCGTAGGAGGAGGATGGCTTGTGAGCTAGTGAAGGGGCTATCAACTCACTATCGTGAGCAGGTGACAGGAATGTTCAATGGATACATACAAACCATGCTGCAACAGTATGCCGCTGCTCCTGCTGAGAATTGGAATGCCAAAGATTGTGCGATTTACTTGGTGGTATCGCTTGCTCCTAAGCAAGCATCAACTGGAGCAGCGGGCACAGATCTGGTGAACTTTGAACAATTTTTCAACTCTCAGATAGTGCCAGAATTGCGAGCTCAGGGCTCAAATTACAACGGGATTCTGAAGGCCGATGCATTGAAGTTCTTGACCACATTTCGCACTCTGGTTCCCAAACAACTGACCCTGGAATTGATGCCGCAGTTGATTCAGTTTCTTGTCGCGGAAGCTAATGTTGTTCACTCTTATGCAGCCTTGGCCATCGAGAAGCTACTGACCATTAAGGATGGAAGACACACTCGTTATTCTGCTGCAGATCTTACTCCATTTCTTCAATCTCTTTTTGCAAACCTATTCGGTGCACTGAAGCTTGTTGACTCTCAGGAGAATGCGTATGTCATGAAGTGCATTATGAGAGTTTTATCCATTGCAGATATTGGACCGTTTTCTGCCCAATGTTTAGGTGAGCTCACTAACATCTTGGCGCACGTGTGCAAGAACCCAACCAATCCGAGCTTCAATCATTATCTTTTTGAGGCGGTAGCCGCACTTCTGAGGAATGCATGCGAGAAAGATCCAGGGCAGGTGGCAACATTTGAGAACTTGCTGTTCCCCGTCTTCCAGACAGTTTTGGAGAATGATGTGACGGAGTTTGCTCCTTACGTTTTCCAAATCATGTCTCAATTGCTTGAGACTCGAAGGCCTCCTATTCCCCCAACATACTTGCACATTTTCCCTGCACTGCTAACTCCTCTTTTGTGGCAAAGGCAGGCTAACGTTCCTGGTTTGGTTAGGCTTCTCCAGGCCTACCTACAGAAGGCTCCGCAAGAAATCAATCAAGCAAACCAGTTGACCCAGGTGTTAGGAGTTTTTGAGAAGCTTGTTGGTTCCAAAAACACCGACCATCAGGGCTTTTTTATTCTAAACACAGTTGTGGAGAATTTGAGTTTTGAAGCTCTGTCTCCTTACATGCTTCAAATTTGGAATATTCTATTTTCACGACTGCAGTATCGCAGCACAGTGAAATTTATCAAGTCTCTTATTATTTTCTCTTCTCTCTTTGGTGTGAAGCACGGCCCGCAACGGGTAATTGAGACAATCAATTCTGTGCAACCTGAATTGTTCTATACCATTTTGGACAAAATCTGGATCCCAAACCTTACAACTATTAGTGGAGATATTGAAACGAAGCTATGCTCTGTATTTGCAACGATGCTTGTTGCACCATTGTTTCAATCTTCCAAGGAGGCGTTGGTAGGCAAGTTGGTCAATAATGTGATGACATTATTGATTAAGCCCGAAGAGGAACGGGTGGATGAAGACAAAGATGTACCTGATATGGACGAAGTTGTAGGTTATGTGGCTGTGTATGCTCAATTACATAATGCCGCTAAAAAAGAAGATGACCCTCTGAAAGATATCAAGGATCCCAAAGAATTTGTGGCAAAAACTCTTGCAGGGGTCTCTCAACAGTACCGCAGCTTATCTACAGTGTTGCAGCAGGGATTAGAACCTGCTAACATGATAGCTTTGGGACAGTTTTGCAGCGCGTCGAGTGTTGCCTTGGCCTGATTTTAGTCGTTTTCGAGAGGTATTGAGGAAAGAGGGACAAATGTAGTGTCCCACATTTTCAGGAAGTTTTGTGTTCACATGATTAACCCGCCAAAGCCTAGGTAGGTAATGTTGAAGTCCTGGAGTTTGGCAAGCTTCGAATGAGCACTTTCCTATGTGGATATGCCTGACTCTTCACCGCAAGAGTATTTTTGGTTTAATTTCATGGTTTCATGAATTAGTGCTTAGGTAGCATTAGTCAATTTATGACTAATATTGATCTCTATTAGCAAAAGGGTCTCGTGTTGGAGATAAGGTTTTTAGAGTATATCTCGTTGAATCCAAGCAGTGCCAAATGAAATGTTCATTGACTCGACGTGTTCTTCAATTGCGATTTTCAAGAGGTGTGTACTGGAAATATTCATTCTTCTTTTACATATTCATTTGATGTTAGAAAACCTGTGGCGAAAGTGATCAATTGACTTAAAATGTTCTTTTTGTATGTTACCAGATTGAAGATCCCCATTGATATGTTCTATTTCATATACTAGACAGGATGAATGGAACTTTATTCACCGGTAAGTTTTGATTAGTTTTAGCGACAAATGCGCTTCGACAAAACACCTCTCCTAATCTACCTTCAGTTATTCAGATGTAAGTTTTCATGCGTAGAAATAGAGTGATTGGTCTGTGCTAAAATCGTCAAACGAACCTCCAGTATCAACCCCACAAATGACCATGTATAAGTTGGTCGCAATTTGTTCGCAGATTGAGTGTAGTGGTTAGTTTGCCGGTTAACATATATACTTTGGTTGTGGAGGTAGTTATATGCGGATGAAGTCTCATGGCTACTATGCTGGTCGGTATACATACGCGGGTTGAGTCTTTATAAATACGCTAATTGAGTCGGTATGCATATGCACTGTCACTTTTTTCTTTTTCTTTTCATTGACGTGAAACGGAGTTAGCCCAATATGCTTCTGCTGGATGAGTCTGATGGTTAGTTCGCAGATTGGTATAAAGACGCGGGTTGAGTTGGGTTAACTAAAGAAATGGGTAGAAATGAAATATTCTATCTAACCCTGTTGATAAGGATAGTGAATTGAAGCTGACAGCTTCAACAGAATTTTCACTGAAGTGCATGCGCTGCCATTCATCATCCCAGCCAGCCAAGTAAACAGTCTATGGTGGCTCAGGAAGTTAACAGATATTATCCACATTTTGCTTTCGTACATGGGCAACACCACTGTAAATACCTGACAACCCACATATATAAGAGAATTATGCACTTTCTGTACAAGTTTCCCCTGTTTAACAGATTTTAAAACGCAAAGGAATCATTAAAATGTTTTTACAGAGTTTATCCATCTCGTGCAAACAGGAAAATTGATGTAAAGTAGTTTAGTTTCATGAATATATGTTACAATACAGTATAATGATTAGAATTGGACTGAAGTCTTTACCTACATATGCATGCCCTAACAAAATTGCTCAGTACATCTTCACAGCCACCAAAATCTGTGGCAACTGCGAACACCAGTATTCACAAATCAAACATAAAGCACTTCTGAAACCAAGATCCGTTCCCCAACGAGACCCTGAAATCACACAATAGTTTCTCACAGGGCGTGAGATGGGCTTGGCAAATATCTTGAAGTGACGAACATATTAAATTTCTCTTTCCTCTGGTGCTGCTGACCTTGATTCGTTAAAGTAGGGCACCTAGTCTGCACAATTAGCTTGGGTACGAACAAAGTACATTTTAAGCACAATCCAGGAACCACACAAATTCAATGTGAATTCAACTTCTACCAACACAATTGATTTCTATAATTTATTCAAGTTCTGTGTGCATGCCGTACATACGTGCGCATCATTCTGACTACGAACTGCCTAGAGAAGTAACAAAAAATATTCAGTAAGATACAAAGAAAATTCACCTGTACCGTGAAGATTCAGGCTGTCTCTTGAGTTATGGGTTCAAAGCACAAACTGAACTTTTGCTTTGAAGCTTCAAACTCTTGAACAATCCATACTGCTAAGCATTATGAAAATTCCATGAAGATGATCACATTGCCAAAGACATGCATCATCAAATATGACATCTGGGATGGAAGAGGTGCAGTTGTTCAGATGCGTGAAAACATCATGTCCAGCTGTATTTCTTCCAGTCAAATCACAGAGTTGTAAATATAAGAGATCGTTTCAACTGTAACCAGAGACTGGAACCGGGAATCCTCCAAACCTTTCTTCACGCCTGTTAAGACACAAATAAGAAAAAGATCAAACTCACATCACTTCTCATGTACGAGAAAGTTGAGGGAGCAGCAAAATTCACAGGGTGCTGAACCTGCATATACCCACCTCCGAGCAGACAATAACCATCACAAATTTAGAACCTGTACAAAGGATGTACTAAAAATAACATCTGCTGCATACTTAACCGAGTAAGAATTACCTGGATAAATCTCCCTTCCAAGAACGAGCACTTGAAACAGATGATTCTGGATACACAAAGCTGCTTGCTCTTCCAAGATTTCTGAATTTATGTGATCTTTTTCGTTGGAGTGCATTGGAAGATGGAGCGTTTATTTTTCCCTGCTCAAAATAGTTCCAAGAATGTCCTTAATAAGCAGTTTCTCTCAAGAAGATGAAGATCCATCGAACTAAAGAGTGTACACCAACAAACATACTATATTCTATCATATGAGATGATACACCGAAACATACCTTTTCAGTCTCCAAGTCAATCAACTTTATGTTCTTCGGGTATATACATGCTTTCTTCAGCTTTCTATGGCTAACAACTTCCACTTCGGCAATGAATGTTGCACAAACTGAACGATGGTCAGACAGCTTCAGATCTCCTCGTGTGTAAGCTACTTGCCTCATCCCCTTTCCGTACCATAGAATTCTGTCACACCTGCAACGTCAAGTTTCAATTAGACATAAAATACAAAATGTTCCACGATTGCATATGAAGTTTGGGCCTCTTCCAACATGCAACAAGTTGTCCCGACACTTGCCAGGCAGGTGAACGTCGCTTCTCCCCAGTGCTTGATGTCTCGCCGGAGAATTGATCTGTTCCTTCCTTGTACTTATAAGTTGGAGGAAAGTGTATAGGCCCTTCCATCCAATCTTTAAACACCCGTCCCTCGCCTTGCTCAAGTTTCAGCTGCTCAAATGTGCGTGATGAAAACATAGTCAGCTGAAAAGAGCAATCTAAGAAAAACCAAGGTGATGCACTTGTGAGCTAGATATTCCTACCTTGTATCTTGGTCAAATTCAGATAGGGTTCGGTTAAGCACCTGATCTTTACGCAAGAGAGATTCCCAATCGCGACAGCTGACGAGTTGCCAGGTCTCTTTGTCTGACAAAGCGAGCCGATAGTTTAGATCTCCAAGCCAAACGATTCGACTGCAATGTGGACAAGAAACCAAGTGTTAAATGGAGCAGTTTGTGAGGGACACAGGAAGTGACATAGAGTAATACATTTCATATCGCCAAGATCACAGACTAGAAAATTAACTGCTGCATACAAGAATAAACGTGTTTTTTAAAAAACACAAGAGAACAGATCGAAATAAATTTACAACATCTAAGTAAAGACTAAAGTAAACAATGGTATGGCAATGTATGTAAAACAGCATCAACTGGTAATGCGTAAAGTTTTACTCACTCATGTGCCAAAATGGTTTCAGGTAGTTCGACATTAAACACCTTCACCAATCGAGGAAATTTTGTTCGGCGCAAAATCTCCATAAAATCAGCATTTCTTCGAAATTGGTCCCCTTGCTTATGTCCTGAAGTCAAATGGGAGCACACGAAGCAGAAGCTTGTGTGGTGAAGACACATGCTTACAGAAATGGATCCCTACATGTGTTGCAAATGGAAAAATGAGAACTTAATGATAGTACTTCAAAGCGATAACCATATATATAGCGAAGGATATGTCTCATTGATTATCATAAGTTCTTACTCCAACAATCAAGTTACATAGAACTGTTTCAGATAAATCGAAAATTTCTGCGACAAAAGTGGCAATCCATGACAGGCATTGAGTTTTCATCGAACATGTGCTCTTCTCTGGTGATGAAAATCATTGTCACCAGACGAAAGTAGATTTTCCCACAGTAATAACGCTTGCTTAGAAGTGTTTACAATGTGAAAGGATTCAATACCTTATTTCCGAGGTAATGCATAAGACCGAGGCCGACAGCTGAAACCTTAACGTTGTGTACATGGCGCCAAAGCTGGGAACGAATCCAGACAGTTATAAAAATTCCCACCATTTGCTTGCTCGCAACACGAGAATACTGGTATTGATTACCTGCAGGATTGTAGCCTGCATACGAGCCGGTTGAAGACATGAGTGGAAGTACAATATTCTCTCTCTCGTCTACCATCGCTGCCTCGTGCAAATCTTGGGTAGTAAAATCTAAACTTTCCCTTTCAAACTTCCAGCTACTATCTGTTAGCGTCTCTTTCTCACCAAGCCTTTCTAATGTTTCAGCTGGAATATTCTTCTCATAATTTAAAAGGTTCCCCTCAGTAGCTAGAAAAGCCGTTTCTAAGTTCTTCCCGCTCACGCATCTACCCAGCATTTTTTCAACGTCGGAGACATCGGTTACAGAAATGCCCATGTCATCATTGCGAGGCGATAATGGTGCACTGCGGCTCTGAAATGGATCATCTTCCTTCCGCACGCCGACCTTTTTATTCAGATATTCGCGGATTTTAGATTCCCATCTGGCTGCTGGTTCTTGATCTTCAACTAACACGACATTGTTTGCATTCAACGGCACGATTTCTTGAAAGCTGCAGCAAATAGACGAGACATAAATAACATGTTAAAGTGCAATGAAGTCTGTTGGGTATATATCAAGTTCCAGGCATCCTTTTTGATATCTAATTCATAAACAATGTGACTGAAGTAGCTGTCACGAAAACCTACCCGAAGACATATATATCAGCCGGCTGAGAATTATCAATCCATTCCTCCAAGTCCAAGTGATCGGGGGGCGGCTTTCCCGCAACATTCCAGGTGTGCACTGCTACTCTGCTCACCATAAGAAATGCAGGTTATCAACTAGGAACAAATGAAAATGATCTCAAATCAATTTAAAACTGAGAAAACATTCCACTTCTGTTAACACCGACCTTAGCTTGAGCTCTAAATAGGTAATAGCTGGAGGTGTACAAACTTTGCTCAGATCTTACATGCTTATTCCAATGCCATGATTGTGTAACAAGTTTGTTTTAGATTTACAGATACTGAGCATAGAAAGTACCGATATTCGTTATAATCGACAAACTGCTGACGTAGAGTCTCTGACTGTCCTCGCAGCAATGACAATGGATTGGACAGCGGAGCAACTGAAATCCCAAATTTCCTCTTGGTCAGTAACTTCGAAGATAATTATTAGGAATACTGTATTATAGAACAAAAACAAAAAAACAAAAAACGAAGAAGAAGAAGAAGAATTGGAATGCGCATATCATTGGGTTCTTAAATGGAATGCGCATATCAGGTACAAACAAAATAGATAATTTTTCTCCAGCATTAACCTGAGACGTCATTCAAATCCACATTCTTGTGAAAATCAGGCGTATGGGTATCGAAGTAATCTAGCTCTTCAAAATCTGCACCAAATCCCACAAATGGTTTAATCCAAAAGCACAACGTTGAAACGGAGAAATATTGAAATGCAGAGATATCATCACATAGAATTTGAAATCACAGTTGAAGCATCCAGAAGAGGTCCAGCGGCTACAGGGGGTTTGACAGGCGCTGCTTACCACTCTCTTCTTCCACAGTATGCTCCACGTCCATATCGGTGTCGCGGTCAAATTTAATGTTTCCGGTATTTCTCAGGTTTAGCCATTTCTTTACCAGCTGGCGAGGCCAGAACTGCCACAGGCAACTCTTTCAATGTCAGTATTCATTCATATTCAGTAGTTAGCTTTCCAAAATTTTGCAGCTTGCATATCTTTTGAAGAGGTTCACTCCAATTACATGTCTGTGTAAAAGTATTTTTTTTCTGGATTTCAAGAATTTTAGAATGATACGGACTACAATTGAAAAACGTTGATGTCACCTCTGGTCGTCCTCGCGAAGCCTCTGGCCACATTGTGTCCCTGCGTGCCATTTTCCAACACATGTGACGTCATTAAAGAATAATTTTCTTCATGGTTGAGCTGCATTAGTACATTCTCAGAATGCTACAATGGTCAATCCAATATCAAGCAGGAGGATGTAATATGTACGCTCCAAAATACATCATCCTAGTGTTACCACTAATAAGAAAGTCTCCGTCAAGACGCTATGAACACAAAGTATAGTCTGAAGAGCGCTCGGATTCGCAGCATCTTGAAGAGATGAAGCGATCCTACGAGATAAGTAAAACATCAAAATATTCGTACGCATCAATCGCATAGGCTGAAGTACGTCCATAATTGTTCTTATTATACCTACAGAGATTCTAACCTAAGAACTAATAGCTTAAGTAATGAAACTCGTGATGAGCTACAGACTCGTCACCAACAGCCTGCAGCGTCGTCAAATTCTGAAGCTACCTAGATATTTTCAAGACTAACAGTACCGTATTTCGAAAAATCATCGAGGCGTGACTCACAAGCGTCGATATCTAGCAAGTACAGGCAATTGGCTTGTACAATGCGACCCTGCTGCGAGTGAAAAAATATATCCAGTACAGATTGCACCAACACATTTCGGAACTCAACAAACACTTAGGCGAAAGGGCTCGAAATCCTCCCAAGAGATATACAGAAGCTAGAAAGGTATACAGATAGCACTGTTGACAATGTTCAACTTCGCTGACCCTGGAGGAGGCTGAGGAAATCTAGAACCAACAACCCCGACTGAATAAAGATGGCACAAGAACACGACAGAATTCATCAGTGGTCGACTACATTCCATTACCATCGCACCAAAAATTTGTCAGTAAAGATGTTAGCAATATTCGTACACTGGAAACCGCAGTGCTAACGACAATCTAGAACCGCCGACCAAGAGAATGTCCTCCACGATTCTCATTTGCCACATAGGAGCACAATGACGCGCATCTAGCTGGCTCCGATCTTTCGTGTTAATATGCGCCACAACCATATATCTAACACCGAGCACAACTACAAAGTGTACTCAGAACGCGTACTCTCATGTAAGAAACCAGCTAGAGTACCTTCCTTCTCGTCCTTCAAACCCTTGCACCAGTGAGAACCGTAGCAATCTCTACACGAACGTCCCAATCCACCCGCCTTCTCTGCACCACAGCTCGCCCGTAGGGGAGCCACCTTGCTAACCCGAGATCAGACGGGTTACTATCCTGCAGTCTTAACAGAAAAACTCCTTAAAACTACGCGTGGACTACAGCAACAACAACAACAACTTCCATCACTTAACAAACGCTCCCCCTTGCAAGCTTAAAGTCGCTTACACGAACTCAATGATCTCACAACAAACAGTTCACGCACGTGTATCTCTTGCTTCGGCTCAACCACTACAGTGAAGCTCGCCCGAAATTGAAAAGACAAAAATGAAGCCAATCGCTCCCAACGCGCTATCCGCAGCCCCGCAAGACCTCACGCAACAAACGAAAAGCGCACAGGCAATTCTCCCCGATAATTAAACACCAAGATCATTCTCCCTTCGACAATGGCCGCACAGAGAGATCCTACACTGGACCCCCATCGTGCGCGGTGCGGAGTTACATGGGGATGCAGGGCGGGGGAGGGAACTGCGTTGGGATGGGGCTGGGAAGTGACGACCGAAGGCGCGTCCTGGTTTTACCGCGCGCCAATGGTGACATAAACAATATAACCTGTCCTGAGACCGTGTGCCCGTATACCGTGCCACGTGGCGTATGTAAAAAGGACATTTCAGAACAAGGACAGCCATCGTGGGGACCAGTCGAGGGTGTCAGAAAAATTGGAAGATGGATAAAAGATAAAAGATGAAACTGTATGGAAAGAAATACGTGACAAACTTTAAAGTCGGGGATAAAGTTTTGCTTCATGTCCCCAAGGCACATGATCTAGTGTTGGGGCTTAAATAATGCACTTAAGTCACTAACCTAAGGTCGACCTGCGCCCAAGTGGCACCACGCTACTGCCCACACAATAAATAATTCAAAATGTATTTATTTAATTATCTGGAAGATTTTGGTTTTGCAGCTTCTGCAGAGCAAAGTTGTGGTCATATATCCTCGATTTTCAAATATCTCGGAGTCTTGCTTATTTTTTTGGCCTTCGCTGCAATTAACCTGTCGGATTCACTCTAATCTGGAGTAAGAAGAAATTAATTAGGCTCCCCTAGTCCGGTCTGAAATGGGGCTCAAGTATCCAAAATATCCACCTCTGGAGCTCTGTTTACACATGTCTTGGGTGCCTTGTAGCATTAACGAATCCCTAAACTAGGATTAGGCTCTTTCTACGGTGAGGTAATTCCATTTCACCTCAAATTAACACTTGAGTTGTATAGCTGGGTTAACTTAGGGTTGGAATGACTTAGCTTCCTTCCTTCCTTGCCTGGGCTTTTCAATTTCGAAACCATATTCTATCAAACAGTTTGCATCAAAATTTGTATAAATTAGGTCCAAGTCTTGGCAATTTCAACAACCACCATGTGGGCATTTCTAATGGGAGCTTATCCTTTAATCTCCAATGCACTCAAATCAGATATGAAGATTCTTTTCCTCTCAAACCAATTTACCCCTCTTTTTATTCAAAATCTATACACACACACGTATAAATATAACTTGGGCGCAGGTCGACCTTAAGTTCCATCACAAAATGGAAAACAAATATAACCTGCTGACTAAATCCCATCCTGGATGTTGCTGCAATGTTGTGTGATTTTTCTCAAAAGGAAAGAAACCCTAAAATTGAGACAAAATCCAAGTCATAACTTTGCCATATGTGTCATTCTATTCATGTTCACATGAAGGGAATTCATTATCCATTATTGGATAACAGAAGGGGGCAAATGAGGAGGAGGTGGGTCAAACAATAAACAAACAAATAATCAACATCATGGTCTCCCAGAATAAAATGATACTCTGAGTCCTTTAAGCATAACTTTGGATATTAATAATCTACGATTTTTATAATAAAAAAATCAACAAAACATGGTCTATTAGGAGTTGGAAAGAATGTAGCCATGCCCCCAACCTGAAATTTATAACACCAAATACTTACGGATATTTTTTTTAAAGATTGTACATAAAAATTTTATTCAGTGCCTCCTCTGAATCAAGTGTACAATATATATGTATATATATAGGATTGTAAACTTTACCCAGGTATATACTAAATTGACCCACCCATCATCCCACATTTGCACATAAATTCTTGCGCTCCTTTTTCATTTTGGATCTAATAGTGGATAATTTTTGATGATGGTTAAGATGGGTGGGTCTATTTAGTAAATGCATGGATTGATTAAACAATTCCATATATATATATATATATATATATATGATTTATATATATATATTCTTTATATATTCTTTATATATTCTTTATACATATATACATATATAATTTTTTGAAAAAAAAAAATTCTTGTATCTTCTTCAACTACCATGGTCATGCTACCATTCAATCTTCTTCCAAGAAAAGCTTATCCAATGAGTTGTGTGTCGCATGCATAGAAAAACAAATATACAAAGAACAAAAACATTGAGTTAGCTATGTGATAAGTTCTTCAAAGGTCTATTTCCTTCAACCCTAAAAAAGTGTTGCATGAAAAGTGCTATTCATAAGGGACCACCAAATTTCCTTTGAAAGTCACAATGAAAGGGGACACCCCTCCAATGATTGTCCTTTTGAAAGGTGGGTTCTCTCATTCATGAGCTCATTGAAATGCACATGTATTTTAGGGTTTTCATGAACAAAAGGGGGGAAACCATGTGTTGCTGTTGTTGTGTGTGTTTGGACCCTTGTTGTGACTTCACCTTTCAAGACACTCAAACGAGGTGAATAGAATATCAAAAAATAAAGCAAATGAAATATTATTCAGTGAGAGAGAGAGAGAGAGAGAGAGAGAGAGAATACGAAGAAGAAGAAGAAAAAAAAAAGGATAGAAATGGTAAGTAAAAAAGTAACAAAAGGCATTACCATCTTAATAAAGTCCACGTCAGATCCACGTCAGCAGTGATGAGCGTAAGAGTACATACATGATTCATGGGAACAGTGGATGAGAACCTGTTCCCGTATTTCAAGGGAACACAACAGTGCGTCTGTCTGAGTCAAATGCTCAATAAACTGTTGGTCAATGTGAAGATTAGGAAGTTGTATGCGGCAGAGGCGGCACAGTTTTCTGGACTTGAAGATTTCAGTATTAAAAAAAATAAACAAAATACGAATGAGAACAGATGCTAACATCATGGATGTAAAACCAAATTTAAAAAAATATTATTTGCTCTTCACCATGCAATTATGTTTACAGAAAAAAATTGAAATATATTTAACAAGTCTAAATAGTGCAAATTACAAGTGTGATTTGGTTGTACAAGTTTTTTGTGTTATGGTTTCTATTACAATAATATATTTATAAAAAATAAAAATAAAAAAAAGGTTCATGTTTGGTGGCCATTTTCTGTATTTAAAATTAGAACAGATTTGGTTTGACATATCAACAACATATCAACATTCTTCACCTTAAACACAATCCATTATTTTTTTTCAAACAAAAGAATGGTCTGATATTTTTTACTTTAGTGTTTCCCCCTCTTACAAAAACTTTCCCAAATGCCCTAAAGGCCATGTACTCATTTCTTTACATGTTGCATTGTATTTTATTTTATTTGTAATAATTTTTTTTGGGCCATATGCAGAACTTGTTGTGGTGATGGGACAAATTGTTTGGCCTCACTCTGCAAGTCAGGATCAACATAATGGTTAAAACCAATTTCAATATTTCTTTTTCATATCCATCGTAATATTTCCACAACTATACTTTAGACATTTAATAGTATAAAGATGGTAACAACTATGAGATAAAAATTGCATTTCATCTTTCCCTTACACCAATGTCAAAGTACATAAAGGATTAAGAAATAAAAAAAGGAAGGACAAGGTGACAAAAGTCATACATACATACACAACACCATTTAGTTAAGTGAAAAAAATAAAAATAAAAAGGAGAAGAATAAGGGAAATTAAAACACAATAATAACACCAATAAGTGTTGTGTTGGGAGGAGTGTGACATATGAAAAGATTCCCAATGTAATTGGTATTTGTAGCTCTCACTGATTCCTAAGAAGCTTTTTTGTATGTATTATTTCCTTCAATCAATTTCAAGCCTTGTACAAGTCCTCATCTATGCCAAATTCTGATACCTATGCCTTAAATGGTTTGGTACAATACATATTGACTTGGTGTAAATAATATAATTTCGAATTTTTGAGGCTGTAGATGTAGTCTCCATTTATAATCAAAAATCGATTTTTAAGGTGCAATTGTGTTAAAATGTCACTTATTTTGACACCCATTTGTATTGTCTTGAACTTAGTTTACTATTTTAGTTTTTAAAAATCTGAATATTAACTATACTATTACATTATTATCTGTTATTTGAGTTATACTTAATCTTTAAAAAGTACTCAGCTTCCGAATTACATATTATAAGTTGAATTTTTTACTAGTTTATACTGTATTTATTTAAAATTGAACGCTTATAATAATCAATTATTTAATTACTTCAAAAAAAAATCTTCAAGTATAACCTATATGTTTATTCAATCATTTTATTAAAAATTAAAACTTATTCAAATACAACATGAGTGAGAATGTTGTATAAACATAATGAGCACTAGATAGTAATACAAAATGATGCAATTAAGATACAATCCAATTTGTGTGTGTACGTGTGTGTTTTTTTTTTTTTTTTTTTTTTTTTTTCTTTTTTGTGTATTGGATATACTCTCTACCTATTACATTAGTCATTTTGTTTAAGTAGTTTATCTTACTTTATTTTTTCATATTCTTACCATTTGTAAACAATATTATAGGTTTAATGTCATATTTTTTAGGCTTCAAAATAGTCAAGTAGATGGATAATACATTGGTGTAATTTGAGTTTCAAATCCCTTTGTATTGAAGACCATATGACTCCAAATGTATGTAATTGGGGTGGATCATTGCAATTGTAAAAAAGGTTTGTGAGCAACTTTTACTTGAATGTAACATGAAAACTTAGTATAAATAAACTCTAAAGGGAATGTAAGAGAACTTTAATTGTTAATGTTTACTTTTTTACCATCTTCACAACCAAATCACAACCCAAAATCCTCTATCAACTCCATTTTGTAAAAGATCCTAAAGACAAAATTCACTCACCTAGTGCCATTAAAACTCTACACTATCACAACTTTTTGGCTTTTCACCAACACCAATAGATGATTACTTTTTCTTTTTCTTTTTTCTTTTTTAAATTTCAACATTATATAAACATTACCATGTAAGTAATGTTAGGTCGGTGGGAAGTGGGTGAGAAAAATGGGTTTACAACTTGTAGCAATAAATACGAGTCCTAATATCAAGTTGAAGCGTCCATCAATCAATAGATATATAGATTGATTTTTTTTTAGTTTTTAGTTTTTTTTTTAAAAAATGAATGAATGAAATTGAAATATATATATAATAAGAAGAGAAAGGGGGGGGGGTGAGGGGCAGTGTCAGTGAGAGGGCCAGCAATATATATATTAAATTCTCCTATGCAGCAGTTCATTACATGACTATATATATATATATATATATATAATCTTCCTCTGCAGCAGTTCATTTGACCACAGTCTCAGCTCTGCCTCAGACTGCCTGCTTAGACTGGAGTGGACTGGACAAGACTGGAGTGGACTGGACAAGACTGGAGTGGACCGGACCAGCCTAGGGCTGACCCTTTCATCCACACAAGTGGATGAATACGAGTAAGATGAATGACATATGTCTGAAGGGGTAGATGAATGGGTATGTGCATGAATGAATGAACGACGCCTGGCTTTCTGTCTTCTTTCTGCTTTTGTCTTTTCCTCTGCCTGCCCACTGCAGTCCCCCTGATTGAGGATCGTCCACAACACTCACTGCGTCCACTTGATGGATGAATTTTGGATGGATGTATCGTGGATGACGATTATGGGATGAAGGGGGTTTCTTAATAGCTCCGCTCATTCTCAAAGGCACTGAAGCCCAAACTGTAGGTCAACGGGATACGTGTTGAATCCTTGTGCAACAAAATGGCCCTAAACAGTAGGTTGTATATATATATGTATATGTATATTTATTGGAAGCATGAAATTTGCCACTTTATGCCTTTGAGGGTCCCTCTGATTCTATAACTTGGAGAGACTTCATGCATGTCATAAAGTAGTGTGTGTGTGTTTGTTGTTGTTGTTGTTGTTGTTTTTTTTTTTTGTTTTGTTTTTGTTTTTGTTTTTGTTTTTTTTTCTCTTGAATTGTTGTTTTTGAGATGTGATTGTCTTGATGTTGCCTTGGACATGAGGAATTGGTTGTGTCTTGTGGTATCATGTTTGAACTAATTGACAACTTGTCATGTGCTTTGTGGTATTACTATATGGTTGTTTTGTTTTGAACAATTACATGGGTTGACAATGTGAGTGTGTGTTTCTACTATTGACTAGATTTATTTTTTATGAACAAGCTAATTGACAGTGTGTGTTTGACATAAAGACGTTTGTGTCATTGGACCATGGACTTGAGCTTGATAAGAAAAGATAAAAAGAAACGGCCTACAGTGTAAGGTGTACTTATGTTTTTTTTGTTTTGTTTTGTTTTGTTTTTGTTTTGTTTTTTTTTTAACACTTAAAATAGCAAGTGAGTTTGATGATTCACTCAAGTAGTGGTCAGAAGGAAGAAAAATAAATAAATAAATAAATAAATAAATGCACAAAACTCAGCAGGAAGTGACTGATACAATGGCAGAGTCAAATTCACACTTAGGTTGATAACAAACTGAAACTCAAGCTATTCTATCACCAGTTTTTGCCCGTTTTTGTGCCATGTGTTGATCACAATTTTATGGCTTTAAAACTTGTGGGTATGTTATGTTTTGTTTACAAGCGTGAAAATGATGATACAACACAATGTAGTTCTCTTTGCATTGTTTTTTATTTTATTTTATTTTATTTTGTTTTATTTTGTGTTTTTATATATATACGTATGTATGTATTGTTTCTAAATGCAGCACTTTAGTACAATTGCGGGACGAATAATATATACAACAAAAAGCACTATTCCAACACGCCATTCTTGCATAGTTGGAATTCTTGTAAAGCCTTGTATGACCAGCAGGAAAAGTAACCATTTCGACCTGCAGAACACGAACCTCCGCGCTTGCAACATCGATGTGTTTCTCGTTGAGGAAGCAGACAAATAAAAAAAAGCCAAAACTCAGGCTAGAATACTATTCTGGACCCTGCAACTTTTCTGCCATTTTGCATATGCATCGTTGCAACATCATGCACATGGAAGCACAAGACGGCGTATGTGACAGGATGCTTTTATAATACTCTAAAGTAAACTGCAGAAGCCGAACCGTTTGAGTTCCTTTCACAGGGATCTGCATGCAGCGCCCAGTGTGGAGCCACCAGAAGAAACATCAACTTCTTAACGTTTACTTTGATTTTAGTTTAGTTGAATAATCATTAAAAAAAGAAGCGCAACATCTGCTGCCGAATCACACGCACCCACTTAATTCCCTTGAAGATCTGGTAGCTGAGACGTGTGCAGCGACTGCAGATCATGTCTGATGTTCTGGAAGAGTTTTTGTCTAGCCAAATTTAGCATCAGATGGGAAGTTGATCGAATTTGAAGACAGAGCTCCAGAGGTTACGATTTTCGCAAACTGAAAAGTTTGGGGTTTAACTTGAACCGGGTAGCCAAATGGGCTCCACTGATGCTCAGAAAGCCCACCCAAGGTCTCGCACAACAGGCCCCCGTTGTGAACACAACAAAGTTTGAGCAAGTGTGGACCAAAACAGTTGCTACGACCATTCACATTCACTAGAGAGCAGAAATCATGTGGATTCCAGCTGCACAATGTGGACGCGGAGTACCACGTACCCCTGTGGGGCCTGTGGCGGCAGAGCACAGTAAATCACAAGGGAGAGAGAACCAGAGTGGAATCACACAAAATCAACCTCAGAGACTGCGGAGCAGCCAGCGAAGGTAACCATCACATACAAATCCTGAACAATGAACCCACTTTTTGTGATATTGTAAAGTTCAACAATAACGACATCCCTGCGGCGGCGACACTCCGATTGAAACTAGTCGCGAGGCATCCCTGGAGCCCCACCAGGCCTCAGGTGTGGTAATATATTTCAGCTGATGCGGCATCAAAGTTCTTGCATATTTCCAGCCCTTGCAAAACCAATCACCATTGTATTGGGGGCACAATCAGTTTCGAGTATTGTAGACTTGATGTAACCCCTTCTGGCAGCATCAGATCATGAGCCATCAACATTGGCAGTGAAATGTCGCTATCCAGGCTTTTGACCTGCTCACCGAGGTGGCACCCCACCTAGCGGTAAGCTAGCTTTGTGAAGAATTAACATCATACTGCAGATTTGTTAATGAGCGTAGTGTGTGATTGCGTTATATAAGTATCAGTGATGAGGATTATCTCATATTTCTCGATTTCTTCGGAAGGCGGTCTGAAGGCATTGAAAATACTATCATTGGCAAAGGAACCAGGATTGGAGGAGATGATTCCCACGTACACAATCACATTCTTATCTACCAGAACGATACTCTGAAGTGAATTAGATAGACGTGTCATGATCGTAGTGCTAGTTGATAGGCTGCGAGGTGAGTAGCAAAGAGAGACGATTCTGATGTAGCATTGTCGCAACTAGATGCTTAAAAAGGACATTGGATTCCCACTCCGGAGAAATTTACACGAAATCGCATGCGGCAAGGATTGATGCCGATGATGACATTGGTCACGAAGTTGAGAACCTTTTGTGCGGCCGGATTCTCTAATTTCTCCAAGGGAACAAATTCCTCCATTCTCACTGGAACCTACTGCGATTGATTTGTAACGACCCGTACCCTTCAAACGCTGGCTTCACGATTATCTTCACGACTTCATGACGTTGTGGAGATTTATTGAACGCAATAACACACACACACACACACACACACATATATATATATATATATATATATATATGTATCAACGTAATTGTCTTCATTCACAACTTCCACTGGACTGTGTTCATCTCCCTTTGCTGCTCCATGTCTCTTCCTCGATTGTAACCGCCTCTCAGATCTATCTGCCTTCACCTGTTTTTAATCCTGCTCTAATGCGACTCACTCAAAAAGTGGCTCCAAATTCCTCTAGATAGCCTCTTGGACTCCACCTTGATGAAATGTCATGGCCTTGAATCAACTCTAGTGTCGCATTGAAACAAGAAAAAATACAGCAGATACTAACTGTGCAATTGAAAGAGATGAGTCGCAGCGCAATCAAATAATTGATGCGAATAGAACACTCAAAAATCTCCCATGCCCAACGTGGTTACAAACACAGTCTGAGTGAAAAATATTGATGTCCATTCACGTAGTCAGGCGACCTCCACGCAAGAAACCAAATCAGTTGTGAACACAGCACATAATGAGAAACTGTGCAGATATGGAAACCCCCGGAGATTTTCCATGACGAGTCCAGTTACAGCTGGAGGCATTTCCACGAGATTTAGGATTTGAAACTCTTTAATGAGGCTAAGCTTCCTTCGTGCTCATGATTCCAAGAGGTGATTTCACCACGATCTCAGTGGCAAGCTTCTGTACTTACAGATACAGATGAGATCGATCTGTGAAGGATTTATGTCAATGGGAATTCTATGCGGGGTTCGATGGTGGAGTTAATATTCAATAAGCACGCACTGATTAAGATGAGTAATAGGAATGGATCATGGAAGATTCCTCAGTTCCAGAAATGTTCAAAACCTTTAGTAATGTTGCATGCACAAATCACCAGCAATATGTAGAGTAAAATGATGTCAAACATGAGATGAATTTACGTCCATCATTGGAATAATAAACAAATGATTCAATAGAAAAATTATAAATGCTACATTCTAGTCTTAATCATATCATACAAGCAGCAAGAAATAGCAAGGCACGCTTAATGAAAATGTAAGGTGCCTGAGACAAGCTATCTCCTTCAACCAATAATCTCTGAAGTTCCCGAGGTGAATTAATCAAATAATCCTGTCAAGGTACTCATTTTGGATTTCTTACTTGATGGTCAGACTCAAAAAGCTAAATGACTTAAAATAGTGTTCACAAGATAGAGCTTTACTACGCTCGGGAGGCTTCCATAGTGGTCTCAATGCTATTTACAATAGAGGCCAAGTCAGAACCCCGCTCCAACTCTTGAACAACTGCTTCATGTACTTTCCTGTGCTCCTTCAACATATTGAAGGCTTGAAGAACCGACCACCGGGCGTGATTCGACATCTACAACACCGACAATGCATCTTTTCAAGACCAAGCACGTGATCTAGGAACAAGATTTTCAAAAACAATTACAGTAAGCCATTGATTATTCAAACAATGCTCACTAATATCAGCACTTAATTTGCAAGGGTATCAATGGCAGAATGAAGTTGAAAACATCCACTGAATATACTTTTAAATTCTTAATGAGTTACAAGCAACGAGTAACATGAGATGTCACGAAAGCCCACCCTGCCAGGGCCCCAGGGTGGCCGCAGTCCTGATATGATTCCCTTATACAAATTTTCATCACTTTCCCCGCCTTCAGCTTCTCCATAGACTAAACCCTCCGCAGCAATACCCGCAAATAATACAATGCAATACCTGCACCTCACAAACCCAAGACCAATCGATGACACGAAGAGGAAAGTACTCCTAGTATTATTTAAACTAGAAAACATCACATTATGTTCAAAACTGCTGCGACAAAAAAATCATTCAGACCTGTCAAGAGAAGCCTCAGTCAGTCTGTTCTGTTCTGATTCCCGTGCCAAACTCTCGTCCCAAAATTGGGTGCCAGCCTGCATTTTCACAAAGTAAAATATTATGAAATGAGCACACAAGCAAGTGAGAAATGGTTGAGTAACAAAAACATCTCAATTGGTCAACATCAAAGCAGACAAAGACAATAGGCATGGAAAACACGATGTCAGACTGCATTTCTAATTCAATCTACTGCTATCACATCGAGACGTAAAAATTAAGAGAGTTTTACCTGGCCAGAAATACCAGATTTAAAAGCCTCTTGAGCATCCAAAACTACTCCCCTTACTGGACACCCTAAAAGGTACGCTACAGATGCACAATTTTCAAAATGTCACATATTAGCTTGCAATTTTACCAACATCACCCGTTACCAATCAATGAAAATTAAATGGCTAATTTGATATATGTAAGTAAAAGCTTACCAACGAGAACATGTCCGGCTTCATGGACAAGCATTCGCCGTTTATATCCTGGCCATAGACTAAGAACCTGAGCTTGGGCTGCGCCCCCGAGGTAAATTGAGTCTAATAAACTTAATCCGACAATTATAACTGCAAGAGGACGAATATCGATATTGTTGTTCACTAAGAAGGAGAATAAAGCAAATCCTGCCGCAAGCTGGAAAGCCGAGGCCCCGGTCAAACCCCACTTCTTTGGCGAGAGGCTGGATGCTGTAACAACAAAACCAAGTTGCACAGTACAGAATCAGAAACATAAATGCATCAAAGTATATCTACAACACATTTGATCGTCTTCAATCCTACTATTAGTAGCTTTGAATGTTCCAGAACGCAGCACAAGTAGTGCAGAGACTTGCAGAAGTGATAATTACCATCAAGGCCAGACGACGCCAACATGTCCTCTGCAGTGACGACCCTCTTTGCTCCAGCAGCTTGAAGAACTGCCACAGTAAATTATATTGATTCACATGATCGGGCTAAAAATAATGAAACGTTCAGAAGTAAAGAATCATCAAAGAAAATGATTGTGAAGGGAAAAAAGAAGCATATTACCTCGTGCTTTGTATTTCCCGAAGTTTCGCAACAACCCGTTTTGTTGGAGATACCCATACGCGTCTCCGACCAATTGAAGATCCGTTGCGGTCTGACATATGTTAAGAATCTTCAAGAACTCTTTTTGAGGGAGAAAAAACGTCTCAGAAGACGAAGTTCCTGTTCCCCTCGAAGAATCGATCCTCAGCGACGATCCATTTCCATTTCCATCTCCATCTCCATCTCCATCTCCGTAAAGCTCAAACAAATCACCGTTGTTATCCCCAGATGTTGCAGCGTCTGATTCAAACCTGTTGAGAATCTCAAGTGCTTCCAATGCTTTTCCTAGATTTTTATGCTCTACGGCTTCCTCGAATTCTTTCCACTCAAGTTTCGGAATTCTTTGCCTAGAGTCGCATTCTAAAGGAAGAGACTGTGGCTCTGGATTTGGCTCTCGTTGTATGTCTTGGAAATCTTGTTGCGGGGCCTTTGCTAAAACAGGACGCAGTTGATCTTGTGAAAAATCCTTGCTGATCCTGTTAAACCCCTGTCTTCCTACAGAAATCGCCTTATAAGGACCTCTCACAGCACATCTAGCCCCGAGCCCCGCAATATGTTTGTGCTCGTGCCCAACAGAGAAGGGGCGAACTTGCAAGTGTGCAGTAAAGCTCCTGCTATGGTTCAGCTAAAATCCAGATCATTGCCACAGAATGCAAACACCAAATCAGAACTACATAAAAAATTGTATGATGCAACTCTATTACCTGAGCAACACGAATCGAACCAACCACTCCTCTCAACCCTAAATCTGCTACCTCGACTCAAGAAAGTGGATCCCACGTAATGCGTCCTGCGTCATGTACACCATAATGTACTGGTATTGCTGCAAATTTACCCCTCAGAGAATTTCACCTCATGAGCCTCTCTTCCGAACCAAGGCTATTCTCCAACCACACATACCTAGAGAAAATACAGATTTTAGCTTTACAGTCGACATGTAGACCCGACAACCGTAACGTGCTAAATTCTGATATAGGTCTCGCACATAGAGGCACACACTACCTAGAAACTAGATTGAAAAGCTTTCAAGAGCATTGTTGCATTTCCCGCAAGCTCCAGAAACCAAATTACTTGCCTCAAATCCCAATTTCAGCCGAGGTGTGGCACCCGCACCAAGAAAAAGCAACATTTCTACGCACGACTCAAATTCATTAAGAAGATGAAAACACAGAACCCCTGACCTCATCTGAAGAAACGACACATTGAACAAAGGCTCGATTTCGCTTCTTCCTGTCGCTGAGCGTGCTAATTCCTGCGCTACCTGATGCTAGAATTGCAGCCGCAGCCGCCATGGCTGCCGCTGATGTGATGATGCAACGGACTCAGGCCACCAGTGAGCTCCAAATTCAAATCCAATTCTTCAATCTCCAAACCCTCATATTCCAAAAAAGCAAACCCACAGAGTTCAGTTGGAATTGAAATCGAACTCCTTCGCACAATTCTTGCTGCTTGGCAGCAAATGGGCTTCGGATTGTCACGCTCTAATTCTGAGGCCATTGACCGTGAAAGAAAAAGGCGTGCAGGGCACGAACTCATGCTCTTCTTCTTCGTTCTATGATGCCGATGCTTGTATTATGTACAGGAGGGTATGAAAAATCATACCCGGGGGATATCAGACGGTGCGCCTGGCAGGTCTCGATGTGTTTAGAGCTATCAAAGAATACTCTGACCTTTTGTGTCCCATGACAAGTGTAAAGTGGACTTCTTTTCCATTTCTTCATATGGTTTTGAATTCCCAAAAATAAATGAGTAATTGTAATTTTTTAATCTATTTTTAATCTCTCCTTTTTTTACAACTCAAATAGTTATTGTGAGCTTATTGTGTGAAATAATTTACAATTGATTTTTTAAAAAAATATATATATATATTTTACTTTATTGGTACGATTAATTCTGCATTGTAGACAAAATCGCCCTTGCTTTCTTTTGATGTTGAAAGTAACAATAGAATGATGGATAAATGCACAACTTTGTTACTCTATAACTATGATAGAATCTTTTATCTATTATTAATGATTTCAAACTAATTTCATTTAGCTTCTTAAGAAAATAAAATTCTTTTCTGGTTATGATCTAAATCATGAAAATAAAACATTTCCATTAAAGTAAAATTTGGATTAAAAAGTGTTTTTTCACAATTAAAATTTAAAAATTATTAATTCAATAATAATAATAATAATGTATATAAAAAAGATAAAAGCTCTTTTTATATATTAGAGATGTAACATATTTAATTGATAACATGCTATGATTAATTATATTAAAAATATTTATTTCTGAATCATATACATAAAAAAAGGTTGAATCTTACATGGTTAAAAAAGAAACATGACTGAATATAAAAAACTAAGTATTTATATGAATTATATAATTTGATAATAATATCAAAAAGAAAATAAAAGTCTAATATTTTTGTACCTAATGTAATTATAAATACCAAGATTTTTATTTTTATAATAATAGTATTTGAATATATATATATATATATATATATATATATAATCAAATAACAATAATTTAATACTACAAATGGTAGAAACAATGAGAAACTATTATACTAGCATAGCAACAATGAGCAAAATGTAACTAATGAATGAGGTAGAAATTTGTTAATAAATGAAATAATAATTTGGCATTATCATTTTACTTATATTTGTACAAAATTGAATTGTATAACAAGGATAAGAAATAGTTTTTTAGGCTGACCATATTTACCAAGTACAACAAGACATGATATTTGATATTGTTGATGAGTAGCATATCACTGATAAACTTAAAAGCTTCAAAGAGATTCTACAATCCATCAAATCTATCACTAAGTCTATTGAAATAAATTTTCTATCAATTTTTTTTTGTTAAAGTATTAGACAAAACTACCTTCAAATTAAAACTACATATAAATATTACACAACAAGTTATCATCTCCAAAGTATTCTGGTTAGTTTGTTGCTTGCCATCAATTCCAGAGCAGTGGGCAGGCAACAAGTTGAGCACAACTCTTAATTGAATAAATGATATTAGAATTTGCTTATAATTGTATTTACTAAAAAGATTAGATGGTTAAGGCTCTACTTCTTAACCACAAAATCTATAGATCAAACTCCAAAAATAAATCAAGTGATATAAATTGGTAAAAGAATTTGTGGACCCCATAGTTTGTTTTGACACTCCACTTCTCTTCCTAACTACTCTTCCATCTTCATCTTTCCTTGGACTGTGGGCCTCTTAGAGTTCTGACTTGGGTTGGATTGTGGGCTCGCAAATTAAATTAAAAAAGTGAGCATGCAAAATAATAAAAGTTATTACAATAAAACACAAAATTTTAATGGAGTGTTGGAATTACAGGGCTCCAAATTGACACCAGTTGATAGTTACTAAATCAGCTCCACTGCTCTCGGGTAATTCATTTAACTGTTTAGCAGTTGCTGAACGGATTAGAAGTTATGTGAAAATATCAAGCTACCGTGCTGAGGTGGGATAGGTTCATTCTCTGGATACTTTTCGTTGCTTATGGCTTGAAATTATCTAGCAGTATTTCTTTCAACTTCCACATACACCGCAAATTCAATGCAAGACGGAGAGATCTGAGAGAATGGTAGGCATCTGGAGCTTTCAAATGTCACCATTACATTCTAGAAATAGATAACAATACAAGCAGAATTGCACGATTCAAACTGAGAAGTTCTAAATTTCTTACAATTTTGGAACTGGTTGCAAGTTTAACAATATCATGCGACGTGGATGCACAAACATGGCATGCAAATAAAAACAGAGCCCTCACAGTTTATGTGGTGTGCTGAATCCATGCTGGATGATTTATTGTGGGAGTTCCATAATGTAGCCTCGAAAGCAGAACGAAATAACATGCCCTCTACAGGATCCTTACAAGTCCACATCTGAAAAAAATACATTCCCTGCTCATTGCGGAGGGAAAGTTCACTTCCATGCTCTAAGATATAAAAATCCAACTTCAATAGATATAAAAATCCTCATGTCCAAGGTATGCCACTATCGTAGATGTAAAGACGCGACGTACTGGCATGCTTGAGCTGTACTTTGAGCCTGATCTGCATGTTCATGTGGTTAGATATTCCTCCAATTGGTTGCAAGCCTCTCGCACGACCAAAAAATCTGGTCGAGAAATAGCTCTGGTATCTACATGTGAAAGAGATCTGATATCTCTTTGGCATGATAGAGTGGGTGTCTTGCTTAGACTGGCAATATGTGACACATCTCAGTGGTAAGCCGTCATACTCATAGAGGGGCCCTCATGATCAGTGTAAGGATCAGCTTCTCCCCGGTATGAATGCCATTCGCGTTCTTTGCCATTAGTCTTGGCTTGGAAGATATATCCTATACTAAAAATCATCGTCAAGAAAGTAAAGGCAGCCCCTACAGCAAAGATGGCCTTCTTTGTTTGTCTGCAAAAATTCTCATCCTCACTAACAACTCCCACGTCCAACTGGCCTTTAGTTCGGATACTGTTCACAATTGCACCAATGAGTAGAAAGAGCTCGGCAATGACGAAAGAAAGCCTGCAACACCCAAGCCAACCCCATATTTGAATCCACAAGCTGCAGAGATCCCATGACATAATCAACAAGGACACCCCTCTCAGTCACATCAAGAGAGGTTTGAAGTCAAAAAGGGGCTCCCTGGCGATGTTGAGAGTTTCACGGCGTTTGTATGAGGACATGGCACAAATATCCTACATACGAGGAACAAATCAAACCTCACCTCCCACTATTCCTCCCTTTAATCACACACTCTTGATGTTACTAAACCTTTGATCGACTAATGCGACACATTCCAAGGGACTCCTTGACCATAGTCATTTCACCAAACTCATGGGAACTTTTGAGCTCAGAATGGATGGTTAAACTCTTGAATTCAACCTCCTACATTCCTCCCAAACCCCTGAGCGTCTAAAAATTGCCTAGTTTTATTCTCCGAAAATACGCATGGAGTAGCTGTGTTGCCAGAAGTATCTTACCAGGATAATATAAGAAACAAAATTGTACAGACTCGTGAAAAACCGGACTTCTGAGTGGGTTTCCCGCAGTAGATGCAGCAGGCATAACCTGTGCTTAAGACCTGGCCAAAGAGGAGAAAGACAAATGCCGAGGCTGCTAGCCCAGTGGAAACATCTTTCGTGTAACCACAGGTGAGATATCCAGGCTCAGCATAAGTTGGTCGCGCCTACAGAAACCCACATCATTCCAAGGTCAGCATTCGCAAAATAATCAGCATCGTATTTCTGAAAGTGTCTCTCAAACCAGGTTGTTGCCTTGACGAAAACCAAATTCCTCACTCATGGCCCTGCAAACCTGCAAGATGCCTCGATGCTACTTCCACATCTTAATTTTACTTTGAAGGAGTTAACAAAGAGGCCACACAAGTTGGTTGAAGAGAGAGGATAGTGGGCCGTGGCCGCCATGCTTAGAAGCTCAACTTTGGATACTCATTTCATTCGGAGAAAGCATTTCCTCGCCCTATCAACTCGATCGTGATCTGGTTGTTCATGGAAAAATGCCTCTCTACGATGAAACACGATATTTGTTAACATCTACAGTATTTCTCTCCTGTCACGTTCATCTGATCAGGGCTTCATTACACTAAATTTCATTTTCGATAACAAGTATTCAATTCCTCTAATTCTGACATGTACCATATGACATGTGCAGCCAAGTATTCTAGTGCAATGTAGTAAAAGGATGGAGCGCCTTTTGTTGAATTTGTGCGATCGTTTCAAGATAAATGAAAGCGCTGCATGATGCAGTGAGCGAGCACCTACTTTAGGTCCGGAGGAAAGGCAAAGAAACTGACCGTACTCCGCTTAGCCATCGCGCCTAAAGCAAGCCCGAAGGCAAAAATGTCGAAAAACAAAGCCGCGCCCAACATGCGCGGAGATAATTTCTCCATGGCGTTAGCTATTCGACGCACCCTACTCCTCCGTCGCCCTCACAAGCCAGAACACACCTGTTCCAAAACCTCTGCCTCCTCTCTCAACACTGAGCAAATGTACACCCGCCCTGCAACCGATTCTTTCCCACGTCAAACCAAACTTGACTAAGCTTGCTCTCACCTACGCAAGAGCACCAACTTCGCATCCCACGCCTCACGAAATACACTCCCTCAAATGCCAACTTCTCTTTAGAAACTTTGTTAACACTACTCACTGACACTTCCCTAACTATACGTGCTCCCTGCGTCAGTCGTTAAACACCCTGCCCCGACACACTCGCCCAGTCAACACACCACCGAACTGGAGATTGCCGCAAGACACAAACACACATACTCACACACACCTTAGGGGCTAAACCTTACGCCACCTCAAGCAGATCCGAAAATGGAAAGATGCGAGCTCCAATGATTCCACTGAAGACTCACAAGAATGCGCAAATTTCGTAACACTTCACAGCCACTGACAACAATGATTAACGAGCACTGGCTGCAAATGAAGCAAAATCGAGGCGTCTGAGCTCCCGATGCACTATGATCCTCGCTTCATTATTGTCTCAGGGGTGACGTCGATGGATGAGAACCGGTTGGACAGATAATGAAAAAGCATCCATCGGCATCTCACCCTCCTCGGCAGTGGACGCAATTGATGACCGGGAAGACCTCCGGGAGGATATCATTTAGTCCAAGCTCAATCATTCTTGCCGCTATTTTCTAAATGTTGTGTTGTATTGGGAAACTTTTCCGCCAAAATAAACATGTGTTGAACATGGTGACGAATGAGGAAGTGATGTATCCCGAAAGGATGAATGAAAAACGGGGACGAAGTCCATGCACTGGGGGCCTCGAATACGGAGATACTGTACAGTATATTTCGGTGGGACATTCCGAGAGGGGGTCAAATCCTTCTATTTGGGAGATTCAGTGAAGGGTGAGTCCGCTTGTGCTTAATCGGACATGGGGAATTTTATTTTATTTCATTTTATTTATTTTTGTAGCTGCTTTTCATGTGATAATATTTTTAGTTCGACGTTTGGAAAAAAGTGTTTTGTGAAAGACTGGTGCTCATTTGATGTTGGAAAAGGAACGCAAGTAAAAAAAGTTTTTTTTTACCTATATATTGATTTTAAATTACTTCAATATGTAGCAGTCTGACTTCACCCACTAGGCTTTGATTTAACTATTGTTTGTTTTTATGGGTTTATGAATTAATTGTAGTAGTAAAAAGTGGCAAGAATACACAACCATTTCAAAAGCACTTCATGTGTTAACTTATGAATCATGCTGCTGGGTGGACTGAATTGGTAAGGCCATTCAAATTAAGAAATCATAATTTACGGCATGGCCAGTCATGCCAAACATGAAATTCATAAATATGTTATGTTCATCTTATTATATTGCTTGTACCGACTGTGAAAATGTTTAAAATTAGGGTAGAAGTATCAGGTCAATACACACTTTTTGCACATTATTTCAGATTTATTTATTTATTATTTTGTTATGAATAGTTTTAAAGATCACCACAAGGAATAGAATAATTATGTTTAGCAGTTTGAATTCCTAAGATGGATAGTGGATACCATTCATTTCATTTTAAAAAACTATAAAAATAAAACACGTGCAGTTTTTTTATTTTTAATTCTGTTGATATTCTCTGGTTGGTATTTCTGGGGTTTTTTGGAAGCTGAGTAAGGAAAAAAAGTAAATTTTGTTCATAAATTCTTTAACATATGTATTTTAAATTTGAGCATGGCAAAGTTCATTGGAAATCTATTATTGGATAAATTTAAATATATTTTTATCTCTAAAAAAATCTCATATGTTCATGTAGAGTGGTCATAATATCAAATTTAAACATATAAATCATCATTGTCTTTATAATTTCAACATTTATTGAAACATGTAATTAAGTTATTTTAAGACAAATAAATTAAAATTATTCTTTTTACATTCAAAACCATTAAAGCAAAGTTACATGATATTTAATTACTTGTGAATTTAAATTAGTTGATATAATTGTGCTTTAATATTGATATTTTAATTAGTAGTATTTTATTTTTAATTTAATACATGATTTGCAACACATTTTGTAAGTAAAATAATACTTAGATCTCAAAATATATAATCATAAATTAACTTTTAATATAATATAATTATAAATTAGTACAAGTGAGTAGCATTCAAAATTTTGTCTCAAAGAACAAAGTGCCAATAAATGATAGAAATTCATAAAACTATTGTATAAAGTATATATAATTTCTCTTTTATTTCTTTACAAATTTATTTTGATATTTTGATATTTTTGAAAACTTCAAAATAATGCTATAAGCATAATAGATGCAAGTTTTTTTATTTTTATTTTTATTTTAAAAACAATATTATAACTGCATGGCATTAAAAATATTGGAAGAGGCTTTAATATTTTTATAATTAATATTTTGTGGTTTTATATGAAGATTAAAAACCTTCAAAATTTATCCATATTTATAGTTTTTAATTTAATTTGTTTTTTTATTTGTATTAACAAATTATAAATATAAGAAAAAATATCAAATATCAATGAAGATCAAATATTTAAAATAGAATTAATAAGAATCTAAGAATTTATAAAATTAATAAAAACAAGTATAAATTCTAAAAATCAAATAATACATTTAAAATTCATTTAAGAGAAGATATTTTTAGTTTAAATACTATTTGAAGAGAAAGAACTATTTTTTAGATACTAAGATTTTATTTTTTTATATTTAGAATTTTATTATCTTTTATTATATTTTATATATCTATATTATCAATAATATTTTAGAAAAAAAATTTTAATTTTAAAACATCAATTAACAATAATTTTTTTTTTTCAAAATTTTAAATTTTAAAGTTTGAATTAATTTTTTTTATAAAAAAATTTGATACAAAATGGATATACTTTTAAATAAAGTTTAAAAGTTACAGGAGCATCCAAACTTCTAATATCTTATGTCTAAGATAAAACTTAAAGCAAAATTATTAACTTACTTAATTACTGTCAAGGACAAGAACTCGATGAAAAAACAATTCAGACAAGTGAGCCTTCACTCAAAGAGAGGTGACAAAATATATATAAACAAGTATATATATTGAAAGAGAAAATGGAATGGCTATTGCCAAAAGACAAGAAAACTAAAGACCCTTGAAACTAGACTAGAAGCAAGAAAGGAGTTGACAAGAGTGAAGAAGCCTTCACTCTTGTCTCTATATATACTATCTAACTAGGGGCTATGTGGCGACGTTCTATAGGACCTACAATATTTGTTGACTTTGTAGGACACATGCCTTGACTTACAAAGCAAGTTTTTCTACGTGTGGGCCACATAATTAGCTTGATCTTCAAGCTAACAACATGTGTGGCACATGGCCAACTTGTTGACCACGTTTCTAATCCAAAAAGTCAATTAAAGACACCTATGAAGTCAAAGCAGCATCTATGAAGCTTCTAGGAAGCTTCGATATTAAATACTATAGAATTAACTTACTTTTATCTACTTTTACCTACTTCTACTTATTTGTATATGTAATTACTAGCTTACATGATTATGTCCGTGACAACTACACATAATTACTTTCTATCCTCAAACATATCAACTATTTAACATCTCAAAAAATGTTTAAAATTATATCTTATTGATATATTTATTTTAATTCTAGAGCTATTATATCTATTTTTTATCTTTTTTTGTAGTATTTTTGTATTTGTAGCACTAAAGAAACAAAGAATCAAAAACTAACAAATTCAACTCAACAACTATTATTTCTTGAGTTATTGGATGACGCATTGAGATTGTCACAATCTTCAAGTTAACATAATAGAAATGAAGACTATTAGACCAACATGTTCTTTCTTGAATAGATGCTGAAACACAATATGTTTGATATCATAACCTTAAAAAAGACTCATGATATTTGATATTAATATTGGAGGTAGAAACTACTCTTCACAATGTTCCAAAGGTTTTATTTGAAGGAAGTTATAAAAGCCTTAATAATAATAAAATAACAAAGTAGTATTTTGCTCTTGGTATGAAATACTATAGATGGTTGAGAAGACCTATCAACTAGTTTCACATGGAACAAAGATTGAAATATGTGACAAATACAATTTGTTGCATCTTAAACTTTTTCAATATATGATTAAAATATGTAATATTTTTTTATAAAATACTAATATTATTTAAAATATTATATATATATATATATTAAATAAAAATATTTAAAATTCTATATTTAAATATTTTATATATCTTATAAAATTATCAATAATTAAAATAAAGATTATATAAAAATATCTTTTTTATATATATATATATATATATATATATATATATAATAAAGCTAAATATACCAAATATCAAAGACATGAATCTAAACAAAACTTTAAGAAGATAGTATATTCTTATCTCACTATTAAGGAAGAAAGTAAGCAAAAAATAAATAATTATAAAATAGAAAAGAAACTAAAATAACTATTGTTAATTATAAAAAATCTAAAGAATTTTAAATGAAGTTTGTAATACAATAAATGTATTGATAATATTGTAGATGTCCATAGTATTGCAACTATATATTTTAACTACCTCAAAGATATTATTGAAGCTTCTTAGGCACCATAAAGCTTGTAGTTTAAGCATCAATTTTTAGATTACTTGCAATACAACTTCTTAATAGTAAGTAATTTAGAAAACAAGTTTCAATAATTACATGGCATGCTTATAAAAGTTTAAATTAATCCATATATTATCTATCTAGTACCTTTCTATCTATATCTAATTACTTCTACTTACTATATATATTATAAGTTGCCATTATACCATATCAATAATATGATATACTAATATATAATATTATTATATATTAATTTAATAAATATATTTTAATTAACATAAAAATAAATTAAAATTCATATGATAAACTTAATAGATTGTAATTTATATAATTTAAAAGTTAAAAAAGTGTATTATAAAATATGATTTATAATCTAATCTGGACACTATTGAAGAATATGAGTACTTTGATTTTCATAAGACATGTTTAACCTTTACCTTCTTGTTGTGTAGCAATATTACCTTCAAATGATATCAATCAAGGTCCATTGCAAAAATGGAAAATAGAAACCGACATAAATGAAATTCTTTGTGTATAAGGGAAGTGTTTAAGTAGGAACATGAGATGCTGCAAATAAAATACCATTAAACAACTGAGACTGTAACTACCAAGCATATCAAATTCATGTCTTCAATTCATAAGAAATCTCAAAGTAAATGTTGCTATCATCATGTCCTCTTAAGTTCTTGAATAACATTAACTCTGTCTCATTTAATGTGAAAAATCATTCATGTCATGAACTAAAAAAAGTGTGGTGTCGATTGATGGTATGACCAGGTCTCTCACAAATTCTTTGTCGCAGCGAGAGCGTGAGAGGGAGCTCATAACCTTGCATTGACAAAGAACGAACCCCCAATTGGAAATGTTTTTGTCCAATTAAAGCAAAGTAAAGGAAGGGGCCCCACCCTTCACCTGCTTGGTTCCTGCGGTGAAGATATCACGCACGGACTTCATAGCTTGAACATGAAGGACCTGTCTTTTTAGTGCCGGCTTGTGTCGCATCTGTATTTCCCATTCCATCGTTCAGGGAAAAAATTAGCAAGATCCAGTTATTCTGAACACATGTTCGTAACAAAACACATTGAGCTTCAAATGCATAATCAAATGCACACAATATCACGTTCAGGATGATGTACGAATCCTCATTCAAAGACGTAGCAATGTAACAGAAGAGACGGTAGTTGTGAAACTTCTCGTTGAATCATTGGAAGCTTCTTCATCAAATGGGCCTTGATTGATTTCATTTCTGGTACAACAGAATATGTATTCATCAATCCCTTACTTTGTCCATGAGAGAATAGGTTCTTGACAAAACAAGATAAATCTCATTTTACTGATACTCGATGTATACTTGATGTATAGTAGATTGTGTTCACTCTGAAAAATAATACTAACACTGTTCATGCCTACAACCAGCAGCACTCACATATAAATTAAAGTTCTGCAAAATTTTAACCTTTAAATTCAGATGGTGGTCTATCGATCTGAACACTCTTGTTTGCTAAAGGCACGAACTTGCTTTCTGAGTCAATATTGGCCTCGGTAATGTCCTTCCGTTTCTCTCCAAATAGAATCTCTTTCGCATCAGGATCCAAGTTCGCTATGACGTAGGCATTGAGAGTTGGCTCTGTCAGATACAAAGGCAGCATTAGTATTCACTGTTCACTAGTCAGTAAGGATTGGGACACTCAATAGGCCTGTGCACCAATGCTCACTGAAAAAAAGAAGAAGAAAGAGAGATGCTGCAGTAATACAACGTTCTGAAACGGCAAAAATTTAGCGAAAAAGGACACTTTGAAGTGAGCCGAGTGAAATAACTGGGTGGTTTGAGCCTGGGTTGCCTTCCCTGCACCGCACCTTTTGCTCCAATCTTTACTTGCTGCACTACAGAAAGGCTCATTTAGGATGCTACTTAAAAACTATAGTTGCAATAGTTTGCTTCTCCAACTCATCCATAGTGGAACATCAAATAAATTACTCGTTTTTGAAGGACAATCAATGACTCTTGCATGCAAAGAGGTTAAGCTCACACAATATGTTAATGTCAAATTGGTATTATGAAAAGCATGACTGATTGTGCCTGTGCTGGTTCATAAGTCGTTGACCATTTTTCTTCTGTTTCATGACAGAAGGCAATCCCCGAATGATTGAGACGGCATATAAATTCGTACCATCCTGCAACGTAGAAAGTACCGTGATACAAACAATGGTGCTGAAGAAGAGGTTGAATGAATTCCAGTCTTCATGGAGAGCATCTTCTAGTTTCGGACTTATTTGATCAGAGAAAACAAACCTTTGACGGCTCCTGCATTGCCTTTCGCTCCCTAAAAGCCTTATCCGATTGGTGGCTCATCCGGTCTTGGGTTTGCTTGTCGCCTACCATCACTGCTTCTATCAGCTGAGCACCCAATGCAATAGCTTATTGAACGCCAAACACCACAAGAGAAAAATGCATCTATCTTGTCCTGAACAGTTCAACTCCACTTAATACCCTCTAAAATGATAGTAGTTGTCCTCTATGGTTGTAATTAGATCTGGAAAATCAAGCATGATCTTCGTCAGTACAATTGAACAGAAAATTAAGATTCCTTTCACGCCAAAAACGTCTCGACTTCAATGTTCCTACTCAGGAGTAAAATCTAAGAAAGTTGGTACGATTGTCCTGCCTTCTTTCTCCTGTAAGCTTGGGCCAGGAGGGCAAATGGAAGAGTATATTCACACGGAGCATCCTTACCTGCAAATTGCAGCACTCCACAGTTCTCAGGAGGCACCGATGTTGAATATAGTCCCAACAGTTTAATTTCCATTGCAAAGACGGCTCTCAAACTTCCAACACATCGATTTCCAGCCATCTAATCTTATTTTTAGAAGCACTATTGACCAGTGTTACACATCGAATTTAACAAGGTGGGTACAAAAAATTAGTGCACACCAGCTTCGGAGGGCGCATATTCATCGGCTGGCCACTTATGAAGCTTTGAGAGTATCAATCGCTGGAACAGAGGGAACTCCATCTGCCATGAACATAACAAGTATAGCTCAATAACCTTCTGCCTCCGCATCTTCCGTGTACGTTCTAACGAGTCCTTGCCATATAGATGATCGATTAAGCAAGTGGACACAAAGACCAAGAAGTCAAACTAGAGAAACCAATCTGCAGAAGGCCACAGGAATAGGAGGCCAGCTGTGATAGTACACTCTTCTTGTTACGATTGATTTGAAAAATGGCGGCCTCTATCTCTGGACTCCCCATATCCATATTCAGCACGGCGAAGGCCAGTGAAGCTTCGTCAGTCGTAATCACTCCTGCAACCCCTTCGCCTTCAAATCATTTTGTGATAGCGAATCAGAAAGTACCATCTGTGAGACCAAGTTATTGAGGGGCAGGATGTATGGTCTCCAAGACGAAGAGATCAAGATTGGCTTCATTCGTTGAAGACATATCATGAAACTAAAATTGAAGAAAGGGTTACGCACTTCTTGTAAAATCCTGAACAGCACAGCTGTAGCCTAAAAAAGCCGTCAAGAGAGGCACAGAAAGAGTTTTTAAGGACTATACCAGTTCCAGCAGAGTCAATTATATCAAAACACTCTCTCAGTTCTATTTTTTGTTTCTCGCTCAGCTCAGGTTGTTTCGGCCTGCCATGAGCTCTTAGCCATCTGTCTACAAGAGAATTGGCGAGTATGATCTGCACCGCACAATTCATTCAATCACAATGTTACTCACAATTACAACATGTTGTAATGCAACGCAACCTAAACTCTCTCAGCCAGCTCTCCCACCAGAAACTCTTAGATTTTCCAGTCCTCAAATGAGCTTCACAGTTCAGACTCTCTACATCATGCGCTTTCACCTTCTCAGCAAGCTACAGATTTTTACCTTAAATAATAAAAAATGATATTAAAGGGATCGTATGTACAGAAGCCTCCTTCAATGGCAAATCGAGTGGTGCCATGTTTGTGAGCGAGAGCATCAAGCAGCACACTGCAACACCACGACTGTCACAGCCCAGGATATGCGCTTCTTCATCTTCTTCCTAATGCACATTGCTGTGGGTGTGGACCAAGCGTGCCCCTTCTCCCCAAACACCGACGCTTCGACACTACCAACATACCTTTCATGTTCACAAGCCTCTTCCAGTAGACAAAAGTGGATAGCACTTGAAACGCCCAGAACACGACATCAGAACTCGTGTAGGGACCCATCTGAAAAACCACGAGATCAGCAAACTCGTGACTGTCAAACGAACAAACTCTAGAACGCCAATCTTCGCTGTGATACCTTCACATCTGGTCCTACAAGACGATACAAAAGAAAACAAAAGACAACCATATTTGGAGAAGTAGAGTAAGATTTTAGGGGGGCGGTTCGAATCTGTCTTTTGAGGGTTCACATTGTAACCAAAAAGTCGAGACAAACGACAACCATATTTGGAGAAGTAGAGCAAGATTTTAGGGGGTGGTTCGAATCTGTCTTATGAGGGTTCACATTGTAACCAAAAAGTCGAGGAACGATATCCATGAGGATGATGATGGCTTCTGAAACGTCATAATTTGGATCTGCGGAAACGCCTTCTCCAAGCGTTGTTGAGGTTATGACGTCATTCGATGCCGTGCTCAGCAGGATTCGAACCTGCGCGGGCAGAGCCCACATGATTTCTAGTCATGCCCGATAACCACTCCGGCATGAGCACTAGTACAAGACGTCGACACCCCAGGGGCTCGAACCTTGGACCACAAGACTAAGAGCCTTGCGCTCTACCAAATGATCTAGGACGGCACGGGAGGACGTCAAATTTGACCTCAGAGACGTCCACAACAATAAGATTATATAATATATATCCAACGGGCAGGTTAGTTTCGTTTTACTCGTTTGATCCGTTTCACTGTTGTGCTAGCCTAAGGACCCTTAATCAGTCTGATGAACCCAGGCAGTTTGATCCCCAAGAAACTAGCTAAATGACCTAATTTACATGCTTAGGTACAAAGGTTTTGGACCCACATGGTTGGAATGTGGTTGCGATCACTATGGTTGGAAAACACATGGTCCATGCGACGAAGGTGAGCATCATGCAGTTAGTACCTGAAGCAAGTGATCATCTTGACTTGGATCAGTGGGGTTGAAACTGATGAATTGCTGCACGAGTGAGAAAGGACTAGTTTAATTAGCCAACTGTAGAAACACGAAACTACGACATGTATTAGCTCTAAACATGGAACACTGGAGTTAGCAGCATACGTAAAGATTAAGATGCACACCCCTATGATTTCATGAGGACACATACCTATATGACCACAAATAGTGACCTACTGTTCGTTACGAAACAACACCACAAGTCCAGAACGCAAATCAGTCGGGCGTCTGGCTCGCAACCTCGTGGTCGCTTCGGAATAACTGAAACCTGAGTAGTTAACCTAATGGACGAAGCAATCTGTGTTTCCATATGCCTAGACACGTCCATTTACACGGAAATTCAACATAAGCAAAAAAAAAAATACCAAACATGCCAATTCCTTCAAGAAATGAACTGTACCCAGCAGTTCTAAACATCGCAAATGACGCACCAAGGAGGAGGGAACGGACCTGCAGGCAACGAGGTAGACACCATTGAATACTTCCTCAGATTGTGCAATGAGGCAAGGGTTAACGGCAGAGACTACAGTAATCTTTCAAGACAAATGTTGGACAATACATACCAATGTGTCCTGCGATGATCTACCAAATGAGGTGAACAGCCAAGCAAGTTAACACCTGGTCCTAGACCTGTCAAGTCATACCTCGCGCTCCACCAACTGTACTAGGTCGAAAGCGAGGAGTGTCAGAGAAGGAACCCTAGATTACAAAAACCAACAGTTTGAACGTAGGTCTTCTCTAATGCTCCCCGGATCGATGATCTTGCCATGCCTTAGAAGAAAGAATCTTTACTCAAAAAGAGAAAAATATGCATTCCTGGTTTCACTCCACACCCAGTAATCGGAGAACCTCATTTGCAAACTCTTCTGCTGTTGGAAAAATCTTTGCAACCGCCCTGCTCCAAAAATTTACATAATATTTCAAGTATTGTTGTTGGTGTATTTTTGGTGTTTAAAAATTTTCATTATGTAAAAAATAAGAATTCTTCTACAGTCTTTTGACAGAGTAAATAGACAAATAATTTTGGGTTTCATACTATATATATATGTACATACATATATATTTTTAAATATATAAAAAATAAATATCCTATAGAAATTATCAATGTAGAAAAATAAGATTATTTTTAGTGAATCTATCGTTTATCAATAATTTTTATTTTTTTTATCAATGACAACTCATAATTTAAAGATAAATTTGTAAAAAAAATATTTCATTATAAAATTAACACAATAATATTTTTAAATAGATATACACTGTAGATAGATAGAAATAGAAAACTAATCCCTAAAAATAAAGCAATTGTACTTTTCAAAAATGAAATAATGTACTAAACTTAAATAGAATGTGAATGTTAAATTGACCAGATATAATTCCGGGTAGGAGATCCTGACTGAATTTCCTAGTCAACAATTTTTATGGATTCAGATGCTCTATTGTTCTTCGCAACCACCCACAAGGATGTTCAGCACATGCACGAAACATTAACAAGAGTCATAGGGTACTATTTCATTTTCAATCGTAACGATAAATATCCATCTCAACTTCACGGTGGTAGTCTCTGGCATCATCTGTGAATAGTTACCAAGCCATTCTTGACTTGCATTACAATGTGTAATTACACGACGAGCATTCTCGACTTATATCCAAATTGATTTCTTTTGCCTTGCTGCAGCTAATGGAGATGATGGACAGTGGCCAAGTGGTTGACATCAGTGGATTGCCAAACAAAGGACTTGTTTTACTTCTCAAGAAGATGTTTTCGGCTTTGAACCCAACTTTCTCGCAAGGGACTTATTTTATACCCAAAGTCGCATAACCAACGATGGAACGTTTGGCCCCAATTTTCAAAGAACTCTCCGCAGCAACTCCTGCTACGGATGCAGCAACAAGAGCAGATTTGGAGACCCCTGCCTTTTTAGATAGTGGGCCAGGTCCTTTGGAAGTAAAGCGCAGGTAAGCTGTCAATTTAGGTGTTCGCTTCCATCAAAGTTGTCATTGCAAATTCTAAACAAATGTGGCGACGTACTAGTACTTTTGGTCACACCTGACTTTGAAATATTGAATTTATGGTGTGTTTTAGCGTTTCTATTACTGTTGTTTCTGAGGGACAGGGTCATGGGTCCAGCGATGCATTCAGCTGAAACGTTAGCAGCCGCTGCACGAGTTAAAGAAGCTGTGGCTCGTCTCAGGTGTGACGGTCTCAACTGGTAATCAGTTCTTATTTGGTCGAGGACATCACGCAATGTAAATTGTTACTGATACGAGTAAGTCTCATTTTTGTCGAAAGCATTTTATTTCCTTCCAAATGTCCGTGTTCTCATTTTCTATCCTTCACAGTAATTTCACCATTCTGTCCACATCAGTATTTTCTTCATGTTCCTATGCAGTCAGATATGCCTTTGTGATCACATTTTTCAGGGAGGCAGAGTTGGAGCTAGAGAACGATCCATGGATTGGACCTGCTCCTCCAACAGTGATGGCAGAGGTTGCTTCTACTTATGAAGCTGAGCGATTCGAAGAGGTGTTGTTATGAAGTGACTCACCAAGTATTGTTGATTCTTGTGCCTTGGCCGAAGCGCCAAACTCTTCAATATTCGTTGGTTCAATTTCACACCTGACTATAATGCAAACTATTAAGTTGTTGAGTAGATTTCGCAATGAATACTGTTCCTGTCTTTTGAAGATATCGCCCTGTTTGCTAATAGACTCTACCCGTAATTCACTATTCATTTCCTCTGTTCCCAGATCACCATGATTGGGTGGTATAGTCATTTGTAGTGATGCTCAATGCTTTTTGCGAGGTTCTGATCAGCATGCTGTGTCAATACATACATACAGTCAACAGTAAACTCCGTTCTTATCATTAGTCCTTTTCTCAACTCACAAGAGACATTCCTGCAAGACGATCCCGATTGTGAGATACTTCACAAATCCTCGTCATCTACCATCATCTCTCGAGAGCTACGTTTGTTTCTGATCGTTCTCCTTTTCGCGTGATAGGTTAATTGGGATTTGTATTCCAATTCGGCAGCTCAACCAAGTCATCGTGATGGTGGGGTGTCTCCTCCAAGCGCGCCAAACAACGGTAAGTGGTGGGCAAGCTTCGGCCTAAAGAGTGATTTGATAAGGATGTCGGTGCGTATATTGCGAGTAGGCCAATACTGAAATGTAACTTTTTAGTGAGCCGCAAGTTGGCGGATGAAATGATATTGAATAGAGATTTGTTTTTTCCTGGAGATAAATTTGGTGGTGTCCATCAAGGCCAACGCGGATTCATTGTCTCAGTACACGAGAATAGGTTGTTTTAGGGTTTCGGTGCAGTGGAGGTCGTGTAGCAGTAGCCAAAGCCACGAGTTCAGACGCGGCGGTGGTCATGGCGACGTACTCAGCTTCGGTACTGAACAACTGCAATGGACTTCTGGTGAATAGAGCTCCAGCTTATGGCACCATTAGAGAGTAGAAAAACGTAGCCACTCGTGGAGCAGCGCTCATTGATTTTTCCTGCCCAGTCGGCGTAGCTGAAACCGTGAAGGGAGCGCGGAATAGAGGAGGACCTGCGATACTGCGATACTCCAGATAGAAACCCACGGTACCGCAAAGATAGCGGAATGTGTGTAGCACATCGCTTCGCGCCTTCATCACTGATTGTAAATGATGAAAAAAACTTTACAGCCCGCGACCTCAATCAACTTCGTTGATTACTCGAAACGTTTCTGACTTTGCGACAAGTCTTAGCATTAGTATGAGTTCGTTGACCACGTAAGGGCAATCCCGCATAATTGCGAAAACCGCAAGCACGAATATGTACTTGGCCGAGATTGTGCATGTACTGGGCGAGGACGCTGATGGAGAAGGAAATGTCCGAGCGAGTACACAAGCTGGCCCAGTTCAGCGAGCCAACAATAGTTGCGTATGGAAAATCGACGTAGAGCAATTTGTCGATAGGGGTGGAAGGACAATCTTTAGTAATGAGGTGCGTCCCTGGAGCAAGCGGAGTCGAGACGGGTTTGGAGTCTAAGAATTCGAACTCCGCAAGTTTTTGTTTAATGTGGAGAGCTTCGGTTACTCGCAGCCAGCCGCGGTCGATGTCGCGGGTAACCTGTAGACTCAAGAGATGGTGAACCTTGCCGAGGTCGAAGAGGAGGAACCGCGCATGCAATTGGGTCTTGATCGAATGAAGCAGCATGAGACTACTGGCCGCAATCAAAGTATCCTTGACATAAAGGGTGAGCACCGCAAAGTCCGAGCCATTTGGTAAGTAATAAACATTGCCGTCTGCGGTTGAATTTGTGAAGCCGAGTGTGATCAAAAATTGATTTATAATTTTAAACCACTCATGAGGTAACTGCTTCAACCCGTAGATGGTTTTGCGAAGTCGGCACACCATGCCGGGGCAAGGAGGAGGGGGGGGGGGGGGGGGGGAGAAACACCCTCCGAAATCCGCATGTAAATCTCCTCTTGCAAGAACCCATTTAGAAAGGATGTCTTCACGTCCATTTGATGGATGTGAAGATCCAGTTGGGCGGTGAATGCAAGAATGAGGCGGATTGACCAGATCTTCACAATTGGAGAGAAGGTTTTGTGATAGTCCAAGCCCGGGACCCAATTAAATCCGCAGGCTACGAGTCGCACCTTGTAGCAATCCACGACGCCGTTTCTGTTGAGTATTAGCTTAAAAATC